TGTGTGTGTGTGTGTGTGTGTGTGTGTGTGTGTGTGTGTGTGTGTGTAGGAATGTCATAGCATGTATGTGTGGGATTCAATTCTCTCCTACTTTCATGGACTTGGGTGCTGAGTTCAGGTCATCATAGCCACCCTTATCCCTGGCCCTCATTGATCATATTATCTTGTTGGCCTTCACTGATCATGTTATTTAACTGTTGTGTTCATTAACATATAGGAGAGCCACTATTTGGAGTTCTTTCTCTCAGTCACCGTACTGAATTCATGGTCACTTTGTGGTTTTATTTCAGTTAGTGCAATAGTCTACAGACAGGTGGCAGGTAGAAGGGCAGATAAGACGTTCTATTACCTGGAGTACTGGCAGTCTTCACCTCTCTGTACTTATGACTTAAAGAACATTTTCATTTTAAATTTATATGAAAATTTATGTCAAACCTGCAGAAAATCATTACACACTAACACACTGAACATCCAAACTTGTCACTTGTTTAGTGCAAGACACTTTCCTCTTAAACCAAACAGAAACCCCAAGTTGAAAAAAATTGCCCCTTTGTCCTCATTCTGTCCTTCCCCTTCCCAAACTGTCTCTGTCAGAATGGGTGCTTAATTCTCAGATCTCTGTGCTAAATGCTGCAAATTGCCATGTATCTATGGCATTTGGATATTTAAACTTGGATTTGTTTATATGTGGTCTTTAAATATCTTTCTGTTCTTAAATTAATAAATAATATTCATAAATAATTGTTCACCATAAGAAGTGTCCCAACATTTGTAGACATTATGGGACAGGAAGTTAAAGTGCTCCTTAATTATTTGCCTAATAAAGGAAGGGCACTCATTGGTGCCGTGCTGACCCAGGATGTGCGTGCAAGAGCCTGGGATCTAGTTCCAGCACTATGAAAAAGCAAAAAGGAACACAGTCAGACTTATGTCACATCACCTCAGTGATGGACGGCATACATGCAGACACTGAACTTCTTAATACAGAATTCCGGAAGGGAAAATAACTGCAGCACATATTTAGCGTCATTTCCTGTTCTCTACAGATATTTATTTTGTTTAAGATCATAATTTACAGGAGCAGAGTCTGGACAGAGGCTACTAGGACACCAAGTGGGTGTCCACAGGGAGACTCATCATTGTTTAAGGCACAGAGCAACAGACCTCTGGGCTTGACTGGGTCCCTGCACTTGACCCACGATGGCTTGCAAAGCAGGACGCCTGAGCAGCTGTGAGTTTCGAGCATTTGTGACACAATGGAAGGAAGTGGCCCTGTAAACTAGTTCATGCAAGGAAAAGGTGGTTTTTCCATTTGCCTTTTTCTGAGCAATTCAACTTCCTAATTATATGATCAGGAATTGTGTCAACCATATGTTTGTTAAATGATGGAGACAAGCATAGGGAAGTCTGATTACAGACAACTTCCCCGAGGAAAAGGGTTGTTTCTTTCCACTCCACTTAGCCTCTGGGACCTGAGTGAGCAGAAGAGTGATAGCCTGGCAGAAGGGTGCCTGGTGGTACCCCTTTTCCAGCACGCACTGTCCTTCTGTCCTTCATCAGTTGTCCTTCTGAGCTAGGGGAGCAATTGCAGGGGCTGACTGACAGAAGAGTGACTTTCATGCAATAAAGCAGATTCAGAGGCAGGGGAATAATGGCCACTATTCTGACTACTTGGGAGACTAAATATTTATACGTGAGTGTGTGAGACAACATACCAGAAGTATCTTATGAGAGTGAGACAGACACTTACCAGTTTCTGTTTCAGTGGGTTTAAAGGTGGCTGACCAGGATAAATAACCAGTTTAACTTTACTACTGTTAAATGATAATCTTTTTGTTTGTTTGTTTGTTTGTTTTGTTTTTCATATGAAAGCCAGTTTTAAAAAGTAGTAAAGTACTAAGCTCTGCATTTTTATATAGTGCAAAAGTTTACTATCTAGATAACAGTGGTTTCTGGATGGGTGACTGCAAACCACTTAAAAGACAGACAATTCCTTTCGTAGAGCCTGCCTCTGCCTCAGATGTCCAAACTAAGCTAAGTTATCCATTCGGACATAGTTTGGACAAACACTGGGGGGGCAGGGGGTAGTTCCATAGCTACGAATAGGTGGGCTGCAGTTTTACATCGAAAGTGGACGTTTAAAGGGCTGACTGGCCTAAACTGGGTCAAGCAGCTGCCTTAACTCACAGTCAGTGGCATTGTACTCACTGCTTAAACAAACAATTAATACACATTCTAAAACTGTATCTGCTTCTGACTTTAATGATTCCTTAAACATAGAGATTCAAAGCATTGATGAAATGAAGTTTTTTTGTATTTATGTTTTTTATAATTAGGTTTTTCATATTTAGTTTTTTCGTATTTAGGTAAATACTGGAAGATATGAATTCTGGAAATGAAGAGGAGTAAAGACTAATCATCATAGTTTGTTTTTGTCTTTTGTAGCTATTTATTTGGACCAAAGAGTGAGATAAGAAGAAAAGAGAGTAGTAAGGCATCTCTCTTTTCTGTATGGTTTTTGTTAGTGTTATTGGGATGTTGCTTTTGCTATCATGTTTTTTGTCTTAGGGCTCTCTGTCTCTGTCTCTGTCTCTCTGTCTGTGTGTGTGTGTGTGTGTGTGTGTGTGTGTGTGTGTGTGTGTGTCTGTCTGTCTGTCTGTCTGTGCATGTGTTAATGGTGGTGGCAGTAGGGTGCGTGTTCAGGCACATCCTGAATCCGGTGCTGTTAGATTTATGTTTGAGATGTCCTGGCATTGTAAATAGTTTCTGTCTTGCTAACAATTGACTTCTTTGTTTCTAGTAAACAAGATCTTGTAAAGATACAACCATGTTTGATTGTGAGGTGTGCCGCCCTGTTTTTTGCCTTTGAGTATAACTTGTACTTTGCTAGGTCTCATTTTAGATGTGAAAACTCCGTTTCAGTCCTAGGCGTAGCCACCTCAGGACAGCTTTAGAGATCTTCTTGCCATGGGAACTTGCAGTGACTACAGACATGACTTGGTTACAGGATACATTTTGTTTTTAGCGATGGAACCTGTATGTGCTGTTTCTGAGAGGAGAATCTACCAAACTAAACTTAAAAAAATAATAATAATGTTTTCCAAGGAAAGTTACAAGGCAGAATGTTTACTACTGAATAAATAAGGCCCCAGAACTTTGAACAAAACGTTTTGTTCTAATATTCTCTAGTATATTTAGACACAGGGAGTTTTCTTTCAGTTCTTTTAAGTTCATATATTTTTGTTTGTCATTAAATGAGATAATGTCTTTGTTGCTAGAGTATATTAGAATGTATTGTAGTGTCAGATCTTTACCTCAGTTCAGTTGAGGTTTATCTGCAAGGATGGTAGAGAGCAGAGATGTGTATAGCTAGATTTGGAATTTGCCAGGCAAGTACAGCCAAGGGAGGAAAGCATTCGTGCAAGAAAAGATTTTTAGCTAAATACAAGGAATCCAAACTGGGTGATTAGATATGCACAAGTGAGGGGACATGAGGAATGGGGAATTAATCAACAGGGGGAAAGGTCACAGAGTCAATGAGTAGGAACTGCTGTGTTAAGTTTGGAGGTTCAGGATTCGAGTTTGTGAGCTAGAAAGGTGGGTGTCAGGCAGAGCATGGTATGTGGAGCATGGTATGTCTAGGGTGCTATTGAAATGAATGAGAGGCTGCATTTAGCAGTAATGATAAGTGTCGGTAGGTGGCTGAGGTAGCGGTCCTACAGCCACTGGAAAAATCAAAGAATCCACAGCAAGAGAAGAACTGTTCTTGAAACATAAAGAAGGAAGTAATGCTGGGAGTCACAAGGAGGATTGCCAGACTCCAAAAATCTGTAGAGGTTTGTGGATTAGGACAGAGACTAAGTTGTCCTAGTGAGCTCCAAAGTCTAGGCCTTCTTGGAAGCAAGAAGTGATCATTTTCTGGAAGTGAGCAGAACCACTGGGTGATATGGCATCTCTAGAGACAACAAAGATTTCGTTTGAGGAAACTTACTTGATTACAAGGTAGAGGGGAAGTTCAGAAAAGAGGCCAAGGCTTCAGACTTTCCTGAATTCCCCAAGGGAGGCCACTCCTAGAAGGGCACAGTGGGAGGCATGCAGGAGCCAGCTGTTTTGAGGGAATTAGCCATGCTCAAGGTGTGAAGGTGGAATAAAAGTTCCAGGGAGACCTGGAATAAGCAAGGATGGGGACACAGCAGGATAAAGCCTGGTGGCTTCTCAAACATGAGGCCCTGTAGGAGTGGATGGACTGGGTGCTTTGCCAGAGCAAGCAGGCCTCCTTGGGGTTCTGCTTTGACAAGCAGATCCCTGAAATTTGATCTCTATAAGCAGACCTCTGGGGTTCTGCTTCTGTCCTCTGCTGTGGTCACTTGGGGGTAGGAGATAAACCCTGGGCTACCCAGAGCATGGGTAGGCTTTCACAGCCTCCTCTTCATTCTGTGATGGAGGTATGTAAAGCTGGGGAGGCGCACCAATTATCAGGATGCATGCAAGTCTCACTGATTTTAACAGATACAGAGTGGTGGCGAGTGAAGCCTCAGCAGCTCTGTACTGGGTTAATTATTCAGTATTCCATGTTTCTAACCTTTGTGTATTGTTCCTGAGCTGCAGGGTGTTTACGTCTCATGGTGTTGCTGGCTAGATAATTAGATCTTCGGTAGAAATTTCACATAGTTTGTACTCAAGAAGTGCCCAGCTTTCATTTGTGCTGATTTTAAGCCTGTGTAACAAATACTCTGTGCTTTCAAAAATACATTGCTCTTTTATCTGAGATGTACTGTTGTATGCTGTATACGCAGTATTGGTGCTTCTCTTGATTGGTAATCAGTAGCTAAAAGTCAGATTCCAATTCCTGTTATAAGGCAGATCACTCTCTCCTCCCTCTGGATGTCCTGCCCACTTCTCCAAAAATGGAACTTGAAATCTGACAGTGTCACAGTCGTAGCTACTGAATCATTAACATATTCCCTCCCCCCCCGCCCCCATTTCTTACAGTGATGAAAGCTACAATGTCAACGATTATTCCTTAAGGGATCAGCTGTTGGTGGAATCTTGTGACAGTGAAGAGCTTAATTCTTCTCCGGGCAAGAACACTTCCACAATGCTCTACTCAAGACAGAGCTCTGCCACTCACCTCTTTACCCTGACTGTCCTCAGCAACCATGCCAATGAGAAGGTGGACATGCTACTTGGGGCTGAGACCCAGTAAGTGTGCAGCAGGGAGAAGGTTCAGAGCGCCTGGGCTCCCTCTGCTTCGCCCAGCGGCTCTTGCTCTCTACAGACAGTGGCTCCTTTTGCTGTGTCCCTACTGTGTGCTTTTAACAGATATGACCTCCTCAGTATCTCTAGAGAGGGATGTTGCTATTTGGCTCCTGTAAGTCCTGATGGATGGATGCATCTTAGTTGAACGTTTTCATTGACAAACACATTTTATTTAAATACTAACCTTTTTTTTAAAACACAAACATTAGGGTGAAGCTTTTTCTTATTCGTTCCTTCAAGGTCATTTGGAATCTTCAGTACCTTTACACCAACCTGTCCTCGGCTTTCTGTAGGCTTTAAGACGCTGCTTCTAGTGCCAGAAGCTAGGACATGGCCACTTAACATTCACTTGGACACCTTGTATTGCTATGGCTACAGTTTGCAGCAATATGGCTCATCCACATTAGGGAAAAGGATGACATGGTAGTTAGAGTCCTAGCAAACTTTGCTTTGTTCAGTATTGAATTTGAAGTGATGTCTGAATCATCTGTCTTCAGTAACACAGTGCACAGGGACTCGCAGAGCCATAACTTGCTTAGAAAAGCATGTCATAATTCCTCTTTCCAGCCAGTCTCTAAAGGCAGGACAGGCATGCGGCATGTGTCTGTGGCTTCACCAGCACTTAGTGTGCAGTCCACTCTTAAACTGGACAAGAAGATCAGGGCTTGATTTGCAAGTCCACCTTGAGGATTTTATTCATCTTAATGTCGCTGACCAATTTGTTTGGAAACAAGAAATCTCTTGGATATCATTACAGGCCAGGTGCTATGTTGAGTCAGGGAATAGAGCGATGGAGGAAAGGGTTTCCTGTGCATGTATCCTCTAGGTTCCTGCATGTTTCTTACCGTTTCTGCCAGTGTTCCCATGTAGAGTCATTAAAATAGATCAGCAGATAGCAGTAATAACAGCCCCAACTGTAAAGTGTTTTTGTAAATGTGTATTCTTACACAGAGATCTTTTTATAAGTCCCCACAGTTCCATCCTTGGAGCTGTAGAAAAGCTCCCCACACTGCCTCCAAGGTCTGCTGCTCTCAAGAGCAGCTTGCTCTTGCTGCTGTGCGTCCAGAAACCAGCATGGGACACATCCAGGGCCAGGCTCGACCGAAAGTGTCTCTTCAACTCTATAAGTCCTTGGGTAACGAGGCAGACCTAGGCTTCTTTTGTTGTGTAGGGAACATGTTTAAAAAATGGAATTGGTATGCTGGATTTTGTGCAACTTTAAGAAAAGCTGAAACTCTTTGGGGTTTAGCACTTGACAAGACATTCCAGGAAATTCATGTATGTCGGGAATGCCCCCTTTGTACTTAGTAATGCAGAGTGTCGCTTTTGCTTGTGTTTTCCTCTTCTAGTCACAGTTTGTTCTTTATTCTGGCCTAACCGATGAATTGGCAGAACTCTTCCTGAGTGCCTCATACATAATTTATAAAAACTCCCTTCACTTCTTTCTTAGATAGTCTAAGTCAGTGTCCTGCTCTTTTTATACCAGTGCTAAATCCTTTCGCAAGACTGTAGAATCTGTTCCATTCTCTTGCCTTTGATTTGCCTTACACTGAGTGGTTGTCCATTTTCTTAATCAGACATGTTCTCAGAATATTTAGTTATGTCACCCATAAGCCCTTGAGTATGACTCATATTTGTAGTTCTTTCATTAATAACAAGAGAACATTCCAGAGGGGATGGGGCGTGGGGCCAGAAGCCTCTCTTTGGGAACAGAAGGAGGGACTGTTATTCTTCTCTTCCCTCCTCTGCCCTCAATTACAGATGAGAAATAAATGAATAGGCTGAGCCGGGGAGATGGCTCAGTGGTTAGAGCACTTGTTTTTTGTGCTGAGGACCTGGGTTCGCTTTCTAGCACTCACATGGTGGTTTACAACTATCTGTAACTCCATTTCCAGGGAGTCTAGAGCCCCCTTCTGGCTTCTGTAGGTACCAGACATGGTTGTTGTATGTATACATACACACAATCAAAATACTTATACACATAATGTAAAAAGAATAATTCTCAAATAAATGTATAGATGCGTGCAAGATACAAAATAGCATCGGTAGAGAGAAAAAAAAACACCAAAATGTACCTTTCTTAAAGCAGACACACTCAATCTCATGCATAATTAGTTGTTTAAATGTGTAATTAATTGCTGCATGCTGTAAGTAGGTATATGTAGATTAGTTCTGAGTTACCTACTTCTTTGTTTTTGTTTGATTTTAAGCTGAAACCTGGTAACATAAAAGCTGAACAAATTAATAACACATTATGATCTGTTTAAATCAAATTTATTTACCTCACAAACATTTATCATTTCTTTATGGTATGGTCTATACGTTTTTGAACAATCAGTTCTAGCCACTATAAGGAATATTCTTTGCACCTAAGATTTGTGAAATGCATAGCTTGATTTTTGGTTTTTAATATTTATTCTTGTGTTTATGTCTGTGTGCATATATAATGTGTGTGGGCACATGTGCTTGAATGAGCACACAAAGGCCAGAAGAGAGCTTCACTGTCCTTTTCTATTACTTCTTTCCTGTCTCTCTGGATCAGGTTCTTATTCTTGAACTGGGGCTTATGTCTTGTGTCTGGGGACTCTGTGCCTGCTTGGAGGTGGAGTTATCGCATTTGCCAGAATGTTGAACTTGTTACAGGATACCATGATCCAGCTCTGGTCCCCACAAAATTGTGGGTTTTCTTTTCTTTTCTTTTCTTTTCTTTTCTTTTCTTTTCTTTTCTTTTCTTTTCTTTTCTTTTCTTTTCTCTTCTCTTCTCTTCTCTTCTTTTCTCTTCTCTTCTTTCCTTTTCTTTTCTTTTTTCTTCTTTTCTTTTCAGCTCTTCTCTTCTGTCTCCTCTCCTCCCCTTCCCTCCCTCTTCCCTCCCCCTTCCTCCTCTCCCCTTCCTCCTCTCCTCTCCTCTTTCTCTCTTCTCCTCCCTTTCTCTCCCTTCCCTCCTATTAGTGCTTATACCTTTCTACCCTGTCCACCCCCACCACTCTCATATCACCTACATCTCACTAACTAGCCTCCCACCCCACCCCTTAAGATGTCCTATTCCCCACTGACCCCTTCCTAGTTTCCTGGCATCTCTAAGTTGCTAGAGCAACTTTTCCCACCCCAATTCCTCCTGGTTTTTGACTTGTGTTCATAAGAACACTGCTGGTCATTTTGTACACAGTTTTGATGTTTGCCTGTCACAAACTTTAACTCACCGTACTGCTAATCAGACAATAGTCTGAATAATGTGAAGACTTAGTCTTCTTGAAAAGACAAGGGAAGAATGCTTTCCGGTCATCTCTTTCTCTGTTGGGCTTTTCAGGAAGAATGTGGGAGATGGAGAGTTCCCTTTGTCTGCCTTCATTAAAATGAGGCACAGGCAGCTGCAGCTCCCACAGGCAGCAGCGACTTCCTGCACTCGCAGTAGAATTGGGATGCTCTTTGGCCTCAGAGTATGCGGGGATGAGATATCTAGTATGTGTTCAGTGAGGGGACAAGCTTTGCTTGCTCGTTACCTCTAACTGTAGGATAGAATCATCACAAATGATAATCAGAGATCCTTCCTAGCATTTCTTTCACAAGAAAAGCTGGGAGTCTAATGAATGTGGCTCATGCTGTCAGCCACCCAGACTGGGTGCTGGGCCTCTGACAAAGAGGAATTGTTTGCAGGGAGCTTTGCACTCTTCCTGCTTCAGTTAATGATTTAATTACAACAGGAAGTATAAAGATGGAATAAAATTGTAAATGGTATCTCAGACACAATCATATTTTTTCCTTCCTTTAGGAAAATCACAACATAAAGTAAACAGCCTATATGGGAAATATATTTCAGGTTACAGTTTTTCTTTCTTTCTTTTTCTTTTTTAATCTAGATTGTAGGTCTAAACCTGATATTTCACATTTCAGTGGTGCTTCTCCAACAACCTGTTCCCTTTCTGAAATCTGCTTTTTATGAACAAAAGCTTTCAGGTAGAAATGGGCAGAACATTTTTTAAAGATTTATTAATTTTTATTTTATGTGCATTGGTGTTTTGCCTGCATGTATGCCTGTGTGAGATACCGGATCCCCTGGAAGTGGAATTACAAATGGTTGGGAACTGTCCTGGGGCTGCTGGGAATTGAACTTAGACCTCTGGAAGGGCAGCCAGTACTCTTAACCACTGAGCCATCCCTCCAGTCCCATGGGCAGAACATTTTTAATAGCACATAGCAATGTCACATGTCCTTGAGTGTGGGGCCAAAATAAGGAAGCCTTCAGTTGAAACGTTGAACAGGTGATACTGACAGTGAACACTGACATGTCATATGAAGAACATTAACAACTTCATAATGAGTCCTGACTTTCGGAGTGGGGGGATGGGGAATGACAGAATTATAAGCCTGAATTAATATCGCTTATTTTCTAAATAATTGCTTTTATTCTAAAAAAAAAAAAAAAAAAAAAGCAGGAAACATAAACTGCCCTTTAATGCTTGTTTACTTTGGAGACAAGGTTCAGGATGCAGCTCATGCTAGCCAGAAACTTCTGATGCTCCTGCCTCAGCCTCCTAAGCGCTGGGATTGCCAGCGTTGCTGAGGCTGCAGTGTGTGCTGTCATTTCAAAGCCTTCCTTCTTAATGCTTATCTAGCCTTTAGCAGATGCCGTGAGAAACTGGATTTCTGTGTCTGTGACCTTTTCCCAAGCAAGTTTAAACCTTCCCTGCCTACTAAAGGATAGGACCAAGGGGCCAGGCTGCTGACTCCCCATGAGGAAACTATCATGGCATCTTACAGTGCCGAGCATTCAAAACTGGGGGTTTAATGGAAGGACTGCTAAGTCTCTTCTCCGCTTCGTCTTCTTTCTCCGCTGGGGTCAAATGCGGTTTAAGAAGAGTCTTTCCCAGAACACTGCACGCTGTTTAGGGCTTTAACACGTTTTGTTCTACTGTCCTCTTCGCTGTATTGAGGGTTGTGAACAGCAAAGCATAACCTGGGGTAGAGCTTGTGCACTTGATGGAGGCTGGCTGAAGGAGGGGTGAGTTGGCCTTGGAATTTGATACCCCACAGGTATCAGGGCAAAGGGAAAAGTCTGAGTGAGCGGCACGTGTGGTAGGTTACAAATTCCTCTTGTTTCATATTGTCACTGGAGAGCACGGCTAGATAAGGGCGAGCCATGGACTTTAATAATGGTTTTCTTGTCTGCAGGGTTCTGTCTTACAGCAAGTGCTCTGCCCCTGCCTTAGAGATACAGTACTTCCAGCTTCTTGATGGGGCCCGCTCCTTGGCAAGACGCTTAGAAGCCCCAGGGGAAGTGGTGTGGTTTGACAGCTTCTCGGAGGGGGTGGTACTGACTCAATTGAAACATTTTCAAGAAACAGCTCCATTCAGCAAGGGCAACAACAAGTGTCTTGTTCTGTCCTCTCGAGTCCCAGCAAGGGGCCACACTGTCTACAGGATGCCGTTAGTATCCAGACAGCATGGCACGGGAGTGAATGATTTCATCTGGACTGCTCAACTCAGTGGCAGGGGCCAGCTGCTGGATCTTGAGATTGGCCTTGCTTGGAAAGTCCTGTGTAAAAGATTCAGTTGCGAAGTGCTCTACTCTGGGAAGGCAGCAGTTTGGGCAGGATAAGAAACAGGATAAAGGCCTACTCTGCCTTTGGGATGGCAGAGAGAGAGAGACAGATCCTGGGCTGTGGAGACTGCTCTTGGTGAACCACTGACCTTCTGCTCCATATTAGTTTTCAGTTGGCATTGTACTTTGGAAATTCTAGTTCAGCCTGTGGCATAATAAGGATCTTTTCCCACTAAGCAGCAGAATTCAAAGTGTTTACTTGGGAACTGGTTTAAAGGAAGCTGTAAGTCACTTATTCCTTACAAAACCAAGGTAAAGCTCTTTGTTTGGCATTTGAAGTTTTTAGAAGCAAAGTGGTATCACCAGGTTCTAATAATTGTATGCATCACCACGGGAGCCTCAGTTCCTCCATTCTCTGTATGTAAACGTAGGCATCAACATGCCAGCGTGGGGTCACTCTCCCACATGCTGATCTACCTGGTCTGAGCCAGAGCCTCATTGCCACTGTGTGCACCAGGCTAAGTGGCCCCGAAGCTTCCTGAGATCCTCCTATCCATGCCTCCCATGTCCCTGTAGGAGACTTAACGATTGCAGGCACTCACAGTACAGCATGAGGCCTCTGCATGGGTTCTGCAGATCCAAACTCATGTGTGGCAAGAGCTGTGACCCCTGAGCAATCTCGACCCATTTTGTTCTTTTAAAAACATTTGCTTGTGCATACAAGATTCATCCTAGCTGCCGTACCTGTTTGTTTTGCTTGTAAACGTGTATTAATATCTTTATTTTTGGCTTTTGAAGTCAATCTCATATTGCAAAGAGCGGCCTTTAACTTGTGGCAATCTTCTATAACCCGATTCCCGTCCTGCCAGAGTGTATGATCTGGTAATAGAAGCAGATAACTGTTCAGTGTGTGATTAGTAATATGATTCTCTGGTGAGCAGATATTTACTGAGCCACAGTTTATACTAACCTGTGCTCTGGAGATAATCCAATTAAGCGGGCTCAATTGCCTGTTCTCCAGAGGTTACTGTGAACCAGCAATGTGGTGAGGCTGGAAGAGGGTGCCTTGGAGGCAGACTGTCAGTTAGGGATAAGGAAAGAACTAGGTGTCCATACCAGGGGAAGTTACTTGGAAGAAGTGAGGCTTATATTGTCAATATTGAGAGATCATAAACAAAAGAAGCCCCAAACAAAAATGTACACTATAGAACCTCATTTTCTAATACATATAAAATGGGTAAAATTAGAATGACATTTTCTTTAGACAGAAGACATTGGTTGGTCCCTGGTCTGGCAGCTACAGACACGCATTTGCATAAGTAAGCGCTTGAAGAGTTGGTTATGCTTAAAGCACTTGGCTTTCGCTTTTTTCCCCCCCTTCTGCGAGGGTATGTGCACATCAGTGTGGGTTTGAAGGGGGCACAGGCAGCAGTTTCCCTGGAGCTGCAGGAGCAGGCAGTTGTAAGCCATCCTCTGTGGGTGCTGGGAATTGAGCGTGAGACCTCCACCATCACGAGGCAGCTCTGAGCCAGCTCAGCAGCCCCAAGACACAGCGTTTTTAAGAGGTGGTGGTGAATAGGTGAAGCCTGCAGAAAAGAAAAGGAAGCAGGAAGATCGCAGAGGAAAAGCACGGCTAGTGTGCCATGTTGCATGTTCTTCCGCTCTGCCTGATGAGACATGTCGGGTAGTGAAAATTGCTTGTGGAGACAAGTTTAGATGCAAGGTATTCACAGATGGCATTTTGGGAGAAGTATATGAATTAATGGATGCTGAATGCATGTATCTGACATATATGAGTTTAGTGAGTATTTGAAAGAACTGAAATAGTGTATACACGTAGCTTGGTTTAATTAATTACAATTCTAATGCTTGCTTTTCTAGACGCACAAGGATAATTATGTGATGGGACCCTGCTTACTTACCTGAGACTTGCAGTCATAGTTAATCTTTTGTTTCCTACAGCTGTACCTTAGCATAATGTTAAAATATTTTGTCTATTTTTTTCTTTTCTAACCATACTCATGAAAACATTTTAAAACATTTCAGGATAGTCTAAATACATCAGAATTTCTGTTTCAATAAAGTTCACACTTGGCAAAGGGATTTCTTGTCTTCTTTTTTTTTTTCCTTTTTATTATTTATTACAATTTATTCAGGCTGTAGCCCCCTCCCTCATCTCCCCCCGCAGTCCCACCTTCCCTCTTTTTTCTCTCTCTATGCCACTCCTCCAGTCCCCTGATAGGGGAGACCCTCCTCCTCTTCTATTTGACCCTAACCTATCAGGTCAGATGGCTGTATCATCTGTGGCCTGGCAAGACTGCCCTCTCTGGGGAGGGGGAGCTGATCAAAGAGCTGGCCACTGAGTCCATGTCAGGGACATCCTCTGCTCCCTTACTAAGGAATGCACATTGAGACTGAGCTGCCATGGGCTACATCTGTGCAGGGGTTCTAGGCCTCTCCTTGCATGGTCCTTGGTTTGACCAAAATGGTTGAGTGTGTGGGAGGAAAGGATTAGAGCCTAGGCTTACAGGTGAAATTGATACTTTGAACTGTTGAACACCAGACCAGGAGTGTGCTAAATATCTGTGATTTAATATGCTGGAGTATTCAGTTCTTCATTGTATATCCAAGCTAGCCAGATTTATATTTGACAATAATGACTGCTCATCTGTCATTTTGAAAATCACTCCTGCCCCTGTTATAAAAGGTCAGTCCCTACCCTCCAGGATCCTTTATGTTTTGGGATTTACACTGGCTCGGTGGGATAAAATAACCCCAGTGTCTAAGGGACGAATCTGAAATGCACCCATTTTCTGTGTTTAGGAGTGAGCGAGCCCGCTGGATCACAGCACTGGGACATAGCAGCGTGAAGCAGCCACCCGACAGAACCAGTAAGTTTCCAGGAGAGGTAGCTGTCCCGGAACACGGAGGAGCTCTGCCCTCTGCTGGCTGGCATAGTTACTGACTGGTCACACTATCTACCTGTTTTACAAGGTTCCATGTACAGCTGTTAGACAAACATGCTTACTTAGACTGAGTTTGCTTCCCCCTCTGTGAGTCAGAGGCGTTGGGTTCACTGTGGGTTATTGTGAGGACTAAGGTAAATTACAGAGGGTGAAAGCCCTGCTTGAACCATACATTCAGCTGTTATTAGCAGGTTTGAATATGAGCAGAAAAGTGTGGGGTGCGCTTGATTTTTATTGTTTTGTTTGAGAAAAAGACTTACAATGTAGCTCTGCCTTGCCTGGGTTTCACACTCAAGGTTTTGCCTCAGTTTCCTGAATGCTGGATTACGGAATCTGAGCCACCCTGTCTGGTTACAAGCTTTGGGTCTAAAGAAAATTACTTTTTTTTTTTTTCTTCTGATCTTTTTTTAGTGGAAGTGGCAAGGCCCAGAAAAGGTACTTTGTTGTTCTGGTGTCCTAGGATGCTCTTTCTTTACTTGATGCTAGAGTTCTGCATAATGAGTTGGAGGACTGAAGGATGAGGCTTGCAAAGTGGTTTTCTGGAACTTTAACAATCACAGCTTTTAGAGTCCAGTAAGTGTGGTTGGTTTGATATCAAACTTTATATTACAAACCAATCACGAAGCCATTTCAGTCAGTTCTGCTGAAGTTGTGTTGTAAATCAGCATTTGGGGGTACGCTGAATTAGTCTGAATAGCTTTTGCTTGGAGCCCTCCCTTTTTCTAAGCCTTGGCACAGCTTCTTTTGCCTGGTTGCTAGTAGGATAGGGTCACTGTGGACCGAGATTGGGTAGTGCAGATAGTATCAATTATATGATCTTGGTCTATCACCTACTCTCTCGCCTCAGTTTCCCCAATGTGTAATACAATGAATGACACCTGATCAAGAGTATTGCTGAGCATAGGTATGCGTCATAGGAGCCATCTTAAACGCAATTTTTAAAACTTTTTAAAGCTTAGAAGCAGGCATGAGGCTTCTTTAACTTCCCGCAGAAGCCCGGCCCAGTCTGCCAGCGCCAGCCCTGAAATCACAGAGCCAAGTGAGTGAATGCATGCTGCCACTTTGTACAAGTTTTGCTCGCCAGCCCCTGGAAGCTCAGTGTGTCCCCTTTCCTCCGCAGCACTGACCCAGGTGGAGATCATTAGGTCTTTTACCGCCAAACAGCCAGACGAACTCTCCCTGCAGGTGGCGGATGTGGTCCTCATTTATCAGCGTGTTGGCGATGGTGAGTAGGATTATTCTCATGGTGGACTGGTGCTCAGGAGCCTCTGGTCCAAGGAGCTTCATGTTGTTACCAACACCTGTGTTCCATACCCTGGCAGTGATGCTTCCTCAAGACATCCTTTACTTCATCCTTGTTCTTAACCCCTTCCTGATGATTCATATCCCAAATCAGAAGCTTCTCAAAGCCCTACAGATTGCTCAGAGATGATCCATTTAAAAAACCCTTACCTTGCCCACTGTCTGCCTTTCTCTCCATGCTTACTTTTGAAACACGATAAGCAGCCATCATGAAGTTTCCTTTCCTTCCCAGTCCTGCAGTCACCTAGCTCTCACCTCCACAGGCTTTTCTGCCCTGCCCCCTTGCCTAGAAAGGAAAGGTTTTCCTGCCACTCCTGCCCAAAAGATTCCCTTTCTGAGTTCAGCTAATTCACACACTCTCGGCCTCCTCCCTTCAGAGCTTCTGCTCATGTCCAATCTCTGGTATATCACTCATTCTCTCTTGAAACCTTGTCCTATTTCACCTCAAATACTTTAGCCTTAACAGTGATCTAGTGCACTCATTTCTTCTTGACTATTATCCCTGGAACCCATCCCACAGAAGGAAGATACCTCTGAGTGGGCATCGCCTCTTCAGAGTGAGCTGTCACGAGAAGATCCCTCCCAACAGTGCTTGGCTAATGCAGCCTGTTTTTCCTTGCAGGCTGGTATGAAGGGGAACGTCTTCGAGACGGAGAAAGGGGCTGGTTTCCCATGGAATGTGCGAAGGCCATAACATGCCAAGCCACTATTGATAAGAATGTGGAGAGGATGGGGCGCTTGCTCGGACTGGAGACCAACGTATGATCTCTCAGACGCCAGCAGAATGGGGCTAAGTTTACCGTCGTCACAGTCCACGTAACTAAAAGGGTGAAAACACTTGCCTGTAAGCTTGCCAAATTGTTCTACCCTCTTGGAAGAACAGCCGCCAGATGCAGTTAGTCCACACAGCTCGGTTTTTGCATAACGATGCTCCTGGAGACCTTCTTGGATCCACTCTCTACTTCAGGGATGAGGGACCGTCTTGGCTCCTCCCACTTCCACTTCGTTATGTAAGATGCTGTTCTTTAGCTTCTCTATCCTCATTTCACTCCTTGGTATGGTCCCACAGCCTCACTGAGTTTATCGTTAAGGAGTGTCCATTTTGTAAATATTTTTGTGTCTTAGCCTAATGGTGTTAATTCCAAAAGCAACTAATAATAGTTCAGTTAGGTGAGCTGTCATGTTTTGTAAACCTCTTTCTACGAAAGGGAAATTGACACTTGAACTTTGCTGCCATTTTCCTCATTAGAAGGAAAGTGAGGAGCGACCCAGTGAGGGTTTTTAAAGATCCATCTCATTCAGTATTGGTCTCGGATAACTATAGCCTAATAAACCTAAAGTACTACAATGACATGGGATTTACAGTTCTCCTATGTGAGGACATCCTGAAGCTAGGATATTTCAGGCCACCTGCTAAAGAGCTGACAGGAGACTGCTCTGCCTTCAGTAACACATGGTTCCTAACTATTCTATTTGTTTTCAATCAAAAAATGGCTGGAATACACATTAACAGTTTTCAGAAGGAGAAAGCTTAGAGAGTATCAAGATGGCAACAAGGCACTTGCTTGAAATATCTTGACCTTAACAGGAGTTTATTGCACTCAATGCCCGGTGTCTAGGTTTGGAGTCTCTCATAGCTGATTTCCTATAAGACATTATTTTTTTTTTCCCACTAGGACAAGGAGAGACAAGGTAGTATTCTAGAGTTCTTTAAAAAGTAATGAAGGTTTGAAAGAGTGACAGGGGAAAAATTATTTTCATTAGTAGCTCTAACCTCTCTATTCGGTTCACCAAGTAAAATCTAAATATACATTATCAGAGAGCTCAGATCTTTGTCCCACGTCACTGCTCCTATCTAAACAGCACCCAAACCGTAAAGTTCCAGAAGCCCAGTGTGTAGGAGCTGGCTCGGACCCTGCAACCCATCCACCTCGGCCATAAACAAGAGTAGGGATCCCAGGCGCTTCTCACCTTTGGGTTGTTTTCCTTTTGCCTGTATATGTATTCCTTACAAAAGACATGTCAGGTCTTGATTTTTGAGGTATGAGTTAGTATGTGAATGAAGCAATAGCAGTGGCCCCCCCCAGCAAGAGATATCCCACATTATAAAACAAGAAATCTGCCTGTTTTATAAAGAGGAATTACAGAGAAGAAAGTCGTCTCCTCTTCAGTAATGTCACATGCTGTTTAGAAGACATGCTAACAAGCTGTAGTTTAATCTAATGTCATGTGTTACTTAGGACAGAGCATGTTGCCTGCAAGGGGAAGCATTTTGTATTATTTTTGCTAACACCCCTTTGCAGCTCTAAAGGAATGCTACGAATCTTGTAAATTAATTTATAAGTGTTAAACAGTGGAGATGTATGTGTCCTTGAAGTCAAGCAGCCCAACACTGTTATTAAAGTGTCCCCTGTAGAGCAGGTATTTAACAATCACAGTGTTTCATTTTAAATGATTGTTTTTAACAGAACACATCTTTACACAAACCTGTTTTATATGGCTTCTTTGAAATGTACAGTGACTTCACTGCTGTAAACAGAAATATTACTTTTGTTCCAATAAATTGAAACTGCTTGTACACTTTCAACAAAGCTTATAAAGATTGTCTATATACTTCTGTTTCTGTGCTGGCGGGATTTGATACACTCATGGTGTGAAGTTTATGGTTTTAGGGATTTGTGTTCAATCAAAGCTGCACTAGGAAGGTGTCTATAGCCAGCATTACAAAAGACTCATCTTGTCTCTTAGGCATGCCCTGGCATTAGCTACCCTACAAAACACATGCTTTTGAGAATCTTGGTCCTATTGTTTTTGTGCTGATGAAATTTTATCACCTAGTAAATCATGGTGAAAGAACACACTCAAACCTTTCTATATTAACTTTCCAATTACTGCATAAGATTTCTACAAAATGAAGTGACTTGAAGAAATACTCAGAGTCTGTGTAGAATCTCACAGTTAGAAAAGTCAGAAGTCCTGGGTACATGGCTGCAACTGCCTCATGATCCTTTCATCTTCAAGGCAGCACTAGAATGCTTAATTCTTATACTCCCTGTTCATGCTGCATGAAGGAGTAAGGGGGGGATGTTGCAGGATATTTCATCTCATTGTGAGCCCCAAAATAGAAGACCTTAAAGCCCTGTTTAGTGCTTCTCCAGATGGCCTAAAATGGAAGCATTAAATGAAAAGCTAAATAACAGAACTGAAATTATCTCAATACCAATTATAATTAATATGATTTGATTATTTTTTAATCTATTCTTACTAGTCAATATGGCTTTCTGTACTAGCTATAAGAAAAAAAACCTTCAAAGAAACAAGATTTTACAGTTCACAATTTTGGGATTCACAATGGGATCAAATATCCTGCAATAGAAAATATCCGTTAAAGGTTTCATGATTAAATTAGGCTCATAGAATAATTTCCACAAAGATTAACTTATTTCTTTAAGTAGGCAAATTAATGTTTCAGAATTGCCTAATTTTAGCTCTTGGTTAGATCTGTACATTTCCTTGGCCATTCAACATAATACATGATGTAAAAAACAGGGAGGTGGAGGTTAGCAGAGTCTTCTTGGAATTCTGCTTTCCTCATCCAGCATAAACCCTTAAAATGCTAGATACTTCCAACTTTCTCACAGCTGAAGTACATCATGTGACAGCAAATACCCACTAGACCCTCTGAAATACAATTTTGAAATCTAAGTCATCTTTGTTATATTTCTACTTAAGCTGGCCTTAGATGAAGAGAGGTGGGTATACCATTCCTAGTAAGCAGCAGAACACATCATCCTCTGCTTCATTTTTCCAGTGCATGGGAAGCCGCAGAGAAGCTAAGACACTTTGATTTGCAGTTTAAGAATGTAGGTCAGTGTAGTATGTGGAGACTGAGTCCCTCAGGAGCTTACTCTGGTGTGGGATTATGAACCTGAAAGACAACGATTTGCCTGCTTAACTCTAACACATTTAAGTCCTAGCAGAGGGAAACTAAAACTTCACTGACTCAAACAAAGCACCAAAACTCAGTTATTTCTATATGCAAGTGGGCGTAGGTCCAGCAAAGACTCAGAGACATGGCACTGTGACACAAATAAACAGCCCAGAGACACGGGATGCTAACATAAGAGGTCATAAGAATATCCATGAATGCTATTTGTAGAGATAATGCCACACTTTAAAATGGAATAGAGATCTAGTATCTACAGAACTTTAAGAGATAAAACCAACTAGAAATTTTATAGTTAACTATCAGATTAGACAGTTAAACAAGATCCTAGGGGATTTGAAGAGAGGCTAGAAGAAACTACAAGAAATCAGAGGCTATAGCCATGGAGAATATAAATATTTAAATGGAGTCCTAGAGAAAGGCCAGAGGAAGGGAGCATTGCCAGACTAGGTAAGCAAGATCATCCAAGCAGTCTAGGATGTAAGCTTCAGTAGGAAGGGAGAGTGATCTTGGATACAGGGGATCCCTCCAGTGAGTACATTTTCTGGAGAGACAGATAAAGGAAGTCAACTGATAAACACTCTTAGTACCTACATGAATACATACTTTTTGCTAAAGTGTCACAATATTCAAAACGTGTACCAGCATTAGATAAATGACCTATAAGACAAGAGATCTGACTAAAGATAATGCCTGAATGCCAATGAAGGTTAAATATAATCAAGGATAAAATAATTTATGTATCCACACAATAATATGGCCTTAAAATGTAAATAAAAATTAGAGAAATATAAATCAATATGAGATCATAAAGTATACCAACATATCTTAGTAAAATTTCATTAGAGAAGGATCCATAAAAGTACAGACTTAATGACAATATACTAGACATATAACACCCTGCAAAAATTTCAGCATGTGCTTTCAAATGGAATTTGCACTTGGCTCTTAGACCCAAATGTAGGATGCAAAGCTTTAACTTCTTCAGATGTCATAGAAGAAACTTTTGGCGACCCTGGTTTTGGGGATAAAAACATCAAAGGTATAATCGATGATAAAAGAAAACTTGATAAACTGAGCTTCGTTAGAATTCTTTAAAAAGCCTCAGAGTGAGGAAGCTTGCAAGTGTATCCCTGATAAAGGAAATGCCTCCTAAGGATAGTCTGCTTAACATCTGTCATCAGAGAAACTTCCTCCTGCAGTCCTAAATGAGATGTCTCCATTAAATCCCTCCCCACAAGTGTCAGGGAACTCCATAGAAAAGAAGGCAGAAAGTGTGTAGGAGTCAGAGGGGATGGAGGACACCAAGAAAACAAGGCCTTCTAAATCAACATAAGCTCCTGTGAACTCAGAGACTGAAGCAGGAACAACAGGGTCTGCATAGGCCTGCACTAGATCCTCTGTGTCTAAACTTCGTTTAGTGTTTTGATGTGATTCCTGGGTATGAGAACAAGTGGGTCTCTGATTCTTGTGTCTTCTCTCAGGCTCTTCTGTTTGTCTTGTCCAACTCTGATATGATAGTTTTCATCTTATATTTTATTTTGTTATATTTTTAAAAAATAAATGAATGGAAATCTAGCTAATAGGGCAAAGATTAACAACTGACTCTCTTATACCTGCTGGGAGAGGGAAAATCAGTTCCCTCCAATGAAGTGACACTGTGTATATCAACCACTCCACAACAAGCCTCATGCTCAGTAGTTGGCCAACATATAATGGAATCTACAGTTCTCTCTCTCTCTCTCTCTCTCTCTCTGTGTGTGTGTGTGTGTGTGTGTGTGTGTGTGAGTGTGTGTGTTTATTTGGTTAGTTTGATGTGGGTTTTTTTTGTTTGTTTGGTTGGTTTGTTTTGGGGGAGTGGTTTATTTTGTTTTGATTTTGGAAATTGTTCCTGTACTGTGCTTTTTTTGTTGTTTATGTTTGAGAAAGAGTTTAAAGTTAGGTGGGTAGGAAGGGGAAGGGGATCTAAAAGGTTAGGGGAGGGGAAGAATATGGTCAAAATATAAAGTTAAAAATTGTCTGAATAGCCTGTAATCAATCCCAGCACTTTGGGAGGCAGAGGCTAGAGGATCTCTGTGAGTTTGAGGCCATCCTAGTTTACAAAGTGAGTCCAGGACAGCCAAGACTACACAGAGAAACCCTGTCTCGAAAAACCAAAAGGAAAAAATGTCTTAATAAATATAAATACAATGAGTTTTTCATCCAAAATACACAAGGAACTCTTACATTTTAACTCAAAGTCCAGGATTGGTCTCAATTTTAAATAGCAAGGGTCTGAATAGCTCACCAGAACACACAATAAGCATTTGAAAGGATGCTTGGATGTCAGAGGTGCAGACTAAATATCATCAGGCACACTCCCACAGCTAAAAGGGGCCAGCATGGCTGTGTAAGCGATAATCCCAATCTCAGCGCTGGAGAGGCAGAGGGAGGTGCGCTTGTCCTGAATGGCCAGCCAGGTGTACATAGTGAGACCCTGTAACAAAAGAACAAAACACTGAAAGGGAAGACCCTAATAACCCCAAACACTGATGAGGAAACAGGAACAGGAACTCTTACTGCTAGCTGAAATGCAATAACCTCTCGGGAAGGAAGTTTGGCAGTTTCTGACTGAACTAAATATCCCTACCATATGATCCCACAATCACAGGCCTTGGGTTTTATCCAAATGAGTTTAAAAACATGCCCATATACACAAAAATGTGCATAAATGTTTATAGCAGCTGTTTTCACAATCATCAAAACTTGGAGGCAACCATGATGCCCTTCAGTAAGTGAATGGATAATCTATGCACCCATCCATTTTTATCTTAAAATCAAGGAAAAACAATTGGCTTGAATATTAAAAACATTGGCTTGAAAACAATTGGTTAGAATATTGGCCTCTGCATGCCTCCTGGGCCCAGTGTTTTATGGCTCTGTTGGTCTCCTTGTGGAGCTCCTGTCCCCTGCAGGTCTATCTCCCCTTTCTTCCATAAGATTCCCTACACTCTGCCCAAAGTTTGGCTATGAGTCTTAGCATCTGATTCAATACCCTGCTGGATAGTCTTTCAGAGGCCCTCTGTGGTAGGCTCTTGTCTTGTTCCCTGTCTTCCTCCACTTCGGATGTCTGTCCTGTTTGCCCTTCTGAATAAGGACTGAGCATCTTCCCTAGGGTCCTCCTTCTTGTTTAGCTTCTAAAGAAGTATAGATTTTAGTATGTTTATTCTATATTATATATATATCTAAAAACCACTTGTGGGGGAGCATAGACTCAGTGTCCAAGTGTGTTCCCTAGTAAAGGAAGCAGGGGGCTGGCTCTTTAGTCACCTCCCCCCTGGAAGGGTGCAGCTTTGCCAGGCCACAGAGGAAGACAATTCAGCCAGTCTTGATGAGACCTGATAAGCTAGGGTCAAGTAGAAGGGAAGGAGGACCTCCCCTATTAGTGGACTAGGATTGGGTCATAGAGGGAGAAGGGGGAGGGAGGGTGATTCTGAGAGGAGATGAGGGAGGGGGCTACAGCCAGGGTACAAAGTGAATAAAGTGTAATAAATAATAAATAACAACAACAACAACAACAAAAAAAAAACACAATTGGCTTTTAAGGACTGAAAATAAAACAAGAGACTGATTGGAAGCTATGGCAAAAAAAAAAAAAAAAAGCAAAGAAAATATGACACAAGTTAGTTATCTAAAATGAGGGAACCTCAATTGGCAAAATGTCTCCATAAAATCCAGCTGTAGGGCATTGCTGAAATTAGTGATTGAGGAAGAGGTACCACAGGGCATCCCTGGGCTGGTGGTCCCTGCCTTTCTAAAAGAAAGCAGACTGAGCAAGCAATGATGAGCCAGCCAGCAAGCAGCACTCCTCCATTGGGCCCTGCCTCCAGGTGTCTGCCCTGTTTGAATTCCTGTCTGGAAGTCTAAGCCAAATAAGACCTTTCCTCCCCAACTTCCTTTTTGTTTCATCACAGCAACAGAAACCCTAAGACCACCACCATGGTGCAAACTCTCCAGAAGGATGAAAGTTTAAATGTCCATAGTCCTTAACCATTAATGGTCTACGTGTTCTGGAAGCTACTACACTAGCATGTTCCTACTAGTTTTAGAGTCATTACTCTACATCTCTCTGTACTCTGGCACCTTAGTCTATGTTTTGGTGAATTTCAACTTTTATAATAGATTTGTGCATATTTTGATAATTATGTACATCTATTTTATTCATTGACATACATTTTAATAAAACTTTCACTAGTTCTAGGTCATAAATTCCAAGTTACTGTAAATCTTCCTGATCCCTGGTCCCCCAAAATAGGTAAGTGAATTCATCAAATTCTTCACATCCACTTTATTGAAGGGTCAGCAATATAGGAAGAAGGCCAGAAAAAGTCCCGGAGAATTCTTCTCCATTAAACCTCTAGGGAATTACTCCCACCTATCCATGTCACCTTTGTTTTTAGAAAGATCCTACTCATTCTGTCTTGAAACTCTGATTTGAAATTTTCTATGCCATCTGTCAAATTTAAGAACCAAAGGAAAGTCAGGACTGGCCGGACCACATTCACAATGCAGACTGGTTCCGAGATGCTTCCAGACCAGTTGCTCTCATGGTGTTTTCAACACCCTGCTGCTTTATTCTCATATCTTATCCTTTAAAGTTGGTGCCTCTTTCTCCTGGCACTTGTTTTCCATGTGAAAAGGACATCTGACCATTTTCAAGGTCAAGAAACAAGCACTAACAGAACACCTATCTAAAATGAATAATCTTCCCAGACTGAAAACTTTTCAACACATCATTTGACATAAGGTAAAGAATGAAATTACTATAACTAGGCAAAGCAGCAACTAAGCACATGGAAAGATGCTCACTGCTAATCATAGAAGGAAAAAAATTAAGACAAAATGAAATAGAACACTTAACTGTATGTTAAAAATCAAACTAACCACCAATGAAAATATCAAGTACCAACAACAAACTGGGCATGTAGAAGTGGTATAGCCACTTGAGGAAAGTTTGGTAGTTTCTTAGAGACACACTTTGCCAGGAGGCTGGTGAGAGGACTCAGTAATCTAAGGATTAGGAGCGCTTACAGAAGGCTTGAGTTCAGTTCCCTGCATCCATATGGCAGCTCACAACAGCCTACAAGTACAGGTCTAGGGGATCCAATGCCCTCTTTTTGCCTCCATGGGTACCTGCACACCTGTGACGCATATAAACATTGCATAGGCACATATACACATGAAAGAAAAGAGAATCCTTTTTAAAAAGACACAGTGTACCCTCTAATGGAACTATCTTAATTCTAGAAACTTATACAGGAAGGGAAAACAGGAAAGAAACCACATGACAACTGTACACACGCTTAGAGCAGCTTTATTCAGTATCAGCAAAAATGTTTAAAATATGTGCAATGTCCATCAAGTGGTAACTGGATACAATGACATAACCATAAAAGAGAACAGTAAACAATAAAAATTACTAATATGTACATCAAATTCATGAATTATCTCGATGCTTTATATTATGTGAACAAGGCTGGACACATAGACTGTGTGAATCCTAGAAAAGGCAAAATTATTGATGAAATTATGATCACTGGGCGCCAGAGGGTACAAGCTGGGGTCGGGGGGGGGGGGGGGGGTAGCAATTTTGCCTCAAAGCAACGAGTGAAAAATCTTAAGTTGATGGGAATGTTCTACATCAAAACTATGGTGGTGTTTGTTACATGATTTCATACAGCAGACAAAATCACTGAAATTATACTCTTAAACTGGTTAACTATATATAATACCATGAAAATTTAAAAATGTATAGAAATACATATATAACAAACAATGGTAACATGATTTATTTTCATGGATACATTTTCAAATATTCTCCAGTGAAAATGTTTAAAAAAAAAAAGAAATCAGAACAAAAATGCTGTTTAACAAGTAAGAATTACAATATATACACATACAACATAATTATAGTTACTTTAAGAATAAATACAAGCTTAGTGTTGAGAATGGAAGGAAATATGCCAATATTTCTTTAGCCTGGGTGCATGGGTACTGAAATAATTTTAAAGTAGACTTTATTTTACAAATGCAGGAAAATAGTTTGCAATTAATTGACTTAAAATTACTAGACTTTTTTTTGTCCCTATCAATTAATTAAGAAAGTACCATATGTATGTACTCTTAAAGCATTATGCAACAGTATATTTCATTTCTTCTCTGAAGTTTTTGTTTTAATGTTTTTTCCAAATTATTCTCTGGATTGTGCAAACAGGTTTTGTGTTTTTGTTTGTTTTTGTTTCTTGATGACCTATTTTTTTTAGGACCACTACAGAACAAGTCATTTTGAGGCTTGGAATGCATTTTCCAGTCCTCGTCTGTGAAGCAGCAGAACCTTCAGAGCACCTGCAATTCACCCTCCATCCTCCTCAGCTGTCAGGCAGACACATGAACAGGTGGTGGCAATACCACACTTATCTTTGTCTACTGCTCAGCTGTAAAGACTTCTAAAACAGCTTTCCATTGTTGTGGAGACTAAATACTTACTTGGCTTTAGGGGCAAAACTAATATGCTCTAATATTGTGACACCTCTATGACTAAGTTCAGGGAGAAGCATAATTTTGGTAAACAACCCAAAAGAATAAACTGAGAGCACAGTACATTCAAATAATTGTACACAAGGCCAGGTGACATACATTCAGGCATAGAAGCAGTACCCGAACCAGTGTGGTCAGCAAATCCATGGCAGCATTATAGTATGTCCTGGCCATCTCATTACTTAATAGGAAACTAAGACCAAATTTGATTATCTGAAAACAACCACTGACTCTTGGATAGGAGGAAAACAACATCTTTAAGCTAGAGGGACTTGAATAAGGAACATGAAGGGTAAAAACAGTGAAAAAAAACAACAAGCCGGAAAACAGATTTGTTTTGTTAACTAAGAGTGTAAAAAAGCATAAACACAGTGTATTATAGCGGGGGATGTGGCTCAGTACATTGGTACTTGTCTAACGTGTGAGGCCCTTGGCTCAGCCACCTGCAGGATCCTCAGTATAAAAAAATAAAACGGTAAAAGATATGTTAAAAATATTTCATAACAAACAGTAACAAAGATGGCGTGAGGATTATATTCATCAGACACTGGTCTGTGCACCTTTCAATACCATATTCAACCCTCATCACAATCTTTACCTGTCCTTCAGATAAGGAAAAGGTGCTGAGCTGAGATAGGACCTCAGACATCACAACCAGACATGGTGCTCAGCTGCTACATTATGCTACAAGGGGCAGGAAGATGGTGTAAGAACATTATTTAATAGTGAAAAAACAAAGAGAAACATCAAACAAACAAATAAAAAGAAACAAGCCAAGTCATAAGTAGAAGTCTAGAAACCAAACCAAGAAGTTAGCTTAGATTTACACATTGTACATTTTATTAAATACTGGGCTTTATTACAACAAATTTACTTGTAATAGAAGTTCATTTTTAAAAAAAATGTGGTTGTATTCAAACTCTTGTCACACTGCTTTTTGGGCAAACATTCTATTATTACTGTCTCTGGACAGTCATTATAGATAAAAAATTAATTGTATAATGGCATAAAGAAATTTCTCAATGTTACAACACTTAATATATGGAAAAGGAATTCTCCCCAAGTGTGGACATACCTAGAACAGAGAGCACACTGCTTTTCCCAGTGTCTTTATAGTAGAGCTAGATGACACTGTTTATTCATGCACATTAACTCTTTACTACCCATTGAAAGTTTCTAGCTTATACACTGAGTCATAACCAGGACTTGGTATTTTTGCCAAAAACTAAAAAAAAAAAAAAAAGAGAGAGAAACATGAACATCAGGATAGGTTTTAGAAAAACACACAAAGCTGTCAGCTATAATATTCTTCCTGTGACCGTGGTGGCAAGTTCCTTGGAGTAGCCTTTTCCTGTGTTTTGATCAAGTCCAGAATAGCTGACAGTACTGCACAGTCTCTTGACTTAGTGTCGTTCCAGTCTACAGGATGAGGACATTCAATCTTCTCTTGCAGAAGGATATCCAATTCCTTTCTTAGCCCCTAAGGTTAAAGGAAGCACACATGCTCATCAAGGAAGATGGATTTTTAGACATCAGAGACAAATGTGACTTTGGTGTGGACAAAGATTTTCATAAGCTATTACAAAGAAGGGTAAAAAGATTCAAACTCTAATCCTTAAAGTTTATTAATGCATAAAAAATAATTTGGAAAACTAAAATCAGTCACACAACTGGCTCTCTTTCAATAGAGTAAGAAACATTCTTTTTATAAGAACAATTAATTTGTCTTGGAGGCCATGACGTGAACCACAGATTGCATGTGGGCATCAGAAAGCCACTTTCAGAAGTCAGTTACATACTTCTACCACGTGTCCACCAAGGACAGTGCAAGTCATCAGGTCTTTCAGCTCAGCAGCAAACATGCTTAGCCATCTAGTCACCCACAAGACCACTAATTCAACCATTAACATCAGTCACCTTGACAAGATGGGCAATTCTTTCTGGAGACTGAAACACAATCCATTCATCTACAGCAATAATTTCCTGGTCATTATCTTTCCGGATGGAAATATCTCCTCCAAAGAACAAAAGACAGTATGGTGAAACTTCCGTACAGTCGTACAAGTATATCTGTAAGGAGCGTTAATGTCGTAAGTGCATGAGGAGGTAAAAAAGGATGACCACCACATAATTTAACATCCCAGACATTCAGCAGCAGCTTTCTAAAACAGCTGTTAGCTTGCTAATGTGAGTTTGAAGATTAAATTTGAAGAAATAACATTTTAAGTGAACCATTCCTAATTCCTAGAGATCTTATTTTTTTGTTCTAAAGAATGATTTTCCTTGAATATATTCTGAATGTCAAAACTAACACCAGCAATAAAGCTAAAACAATTATTTGTATATACAACATATAAAAACAGAATCTTACTTAGTATTCTGACCACTACCCAACTTATTAGACAGACATACTGTCATGCCAACAAATCTTCACACAGCAAACTTCTAACAGCATTTCTTGAAAGCGGCTTCTCAAAGAAAACCACACAAAAAGTAGCTGATGTACTTCATGAAAATATACAAAAAGGACACTATCTACTTATAGAAAAAAAAACACCCTAATTTATGTCAGAGAAAAAGTATAATTTTTAAAGTATAAAGTTATAAAACTACAAGACTTGCATTCAGATATACAATTATGTTAAATGTTCACTTACACTGCTTGTCCTCATCTTCAGGTGATAGATGAGCCAGTTATAGTGGAAGTCTGTCTGCTCCACATTGACAGACTTTGGATGAATAGAAACCAGACCATCAGACTTTGTGTGAACTTTCACCCTTTAAAAAGTTATAATAATATAGTTCATAAGTGTCTTAATGGATTTCCCCCATTACTTCAAAAAATATAGGTAGCTCAGTAAACAAAATGAACAAAGAAAGCAATCTTAAAAAAAACAGACTACATGAGTTCCATATATGTCTGCAATGTATACATTTCAAAGTAGCATTTTATTGAGGACAGGCGAAAGCACATGAGCAAAATATAAGTATGCTACATCTTAACAATGAATCTACATTGTGTTGGTAATTATCTCACCAGACAGGTGATGAGACTATTCTTTAGTGGTGTTAGTATACAGTACACAATGAAGGGTAAAGAAAGCATGTGCAATGATTAGGAAGGAGCTTTTACTGACAGAAGAGTCTACATTTCACTATACCATTGCCATAATGACCACTACCTTCAAATTATACAGTAACTATGAAATAATCAACTAATACCTTCCATTGGTTAACTGTGTTCCCAGAAGAACACAAAATTACATTTTTTTAAAAGAGACTTTTGTGAAAACAGATTTTTTTTAATCTTTCAGATTTACTATAGGTGTATGAGTATTTTGCCTGTGTACAATATGTGTAGCACGTGTGTACTTGGTGCCCGCAGAAGCCTGGAGGCACTTGGTCACCTAAGACTGGAGTTACAGACAGGGTGAGCAGCCACAGGGGCATAGGATATAGAGCCTGAGTCCCATGGAAGAGTAGCCAGGACTCTAACTGCTGAGCCATCTCTTCAGGCCCTTTTAAAGGTTTTTAAATGTCCTCTACTCACTCAATTTCAAAATAAATATATCTTAGATGTTTACTTAACTGACATCTGAGGGACTTTCCTGGTACTACAGAGATTTTGTGGAGGGAAGGAGTGCACGTGTGAAGGTGAGGTGAATCAGGATCATTTTTCCCCTTCACCATGCTGGTTTCTAGGAGCTCAGAGATGGACCCCAGGTTGTCAGACCTGGTAATAAGTGCCTGCCTACATAAACCATCTCACAGGCCCTAGGGATCTTTTTTGTTGATGGCCAGTTTGTAAGTTACTTTGTTCATTAATATCAGATAGATGATTATTTCATGGCTTGTTTTTAAATAATGGTAATATGTTGCACTTCCTACTTCATAATCCCCTCTTCAGAGTTTTTAAGGTTCTATGAATTCAAAACATATCAAAATCAAAAGTCATAGTTATGATTGATTCAGAATAAAAACATGAATTACTTTTTCTCAGTCAACCTAACCAGTGTTATTCTGCAACCCAGGAGTTAGAAATTTTCTGCATAAAGCCAGATAAGTTTTAAAATTTGGTGGCCTTCCAATCTGTCTCATCTTACCCTGCTCTGCTAGGGAAACAGGAAAGCAGACAATATAGAAATAAATGGGCATAACTGTGCCCCAGTAAAGATTTATTTAACAAACCTCTGGCCTGTGTGAGCAGGAGCATGAGTTGGAGGCCAGCAGAGGCTATGATATAAAAAACCCTGCTTCAAAACAAAAAATGCAAAACAAAAAAACCCAAACCAACTGAGATCATTTACAATATAGATAATGCAGCCATACTAAAATACTTCTGCTTACCCATAACCCTGCAACCTAACCAATTCCTCGTCTGGGGCAGCTGTGTGTACATTACTGAATGCTTAGTAGTACGCCTGGTCTAAGAAACATGAAAAGATCTCTTCTAAGTTATGTACCAATAAACATCTCCAGCTACTAGTTGAATGTTCTTTGCTGGTGGTGGTTGTGGTCACCCCAGTTTCAGAATCATAGCCTAGAACATAATCTTAATGTTGGTCATTCTTGGCAGTCTGTGTTTTCTATTTTTATAATCACAAAATACCGAGCATTTTCATTTACATTAATCCTAATATCTTACATGCTACTACAGTTTTAAACCATTAATTTTCCCATTGCTAATAGACACCTATGCTATTTGCTACACACCTGTTAAAAAGCATTTGTAATCAATTCCTTAAGATAAACCCAAATTAAAACCTGAATTTCTCAATGAACTGAGCTGAGCCAATGACTACTAAACACCTTCCAAAGGGTGACAACAATTCAATACCTCTGGCCTCTTCTGACTTTCAGTATCCTCACTAGAGTAAACTATGAGGCAGAAATATTCCTCACTATTATTTCCAACTGCTACTACGACTATGTGGACATGCATTTCATTTCTCCAAAGACTGAAATAAGTTTTATTCAAATCGCTGTTTAAAAAATATCCCCTCCTCATTTTCTAAGAAAAGGGAATATATAAATTATATATACACACATACACATATTCATAAAACAACAAAATCTAGTCAGTATCTCTTCAGACATTGCTTCTCACTCACACTGCTCTGTCAGCTTTTAATGCTTACAGAAGTTCCATGTTTTACTAACCTATTTTGTAAATGGGTGATCTGTGTTGTAAGGGACAGATCCCTATGCTCAACAAATTCCTATGCATCTAAATTATCAAACATGCAAAGAATACAGCCAACAAGGAGAGAGAATACATTTCTAGTAGAGGGTTCTAATCTTCAATGCTTACATTTTCCTCTTTTTACCGAAATTTAGTCGGATTTTAGCAACTTTGGGATATAAACCAGCACAGATGACAGCTTTAATTATCTTCTCATTATCTATTGGGAGAAGAAAAGTAGAAGGGAAAAAGAGTAAAATACTGAAGCAATGACCCATTAATGGCAAGTGATTTACACTGTTTTGGGCTTTGTTTGTTTGTTTTTGTTTGCTTTACCTGAATTTACATTAGCTTTTGGATCTTTGGGACTTCTACTGCTTACGAATCCAGCTCCCAGGAGATGCTCAGCAAACTGTCCCTTCATGTTATGCAGCATCTGGAGAGCAATGGTTAACAAACAGCTAGAAACCCTTTGTGCACAGGGCCTTTACATCATGTGATACATTTAAAACAAGATTTATTTTAATTTTGTGTGTGTGTGTGTGTGTGTGTGTGTGTGTGTATTCCATGTGAGTCCAGGTGCCTATGGAGGCCTGAAGGTTTCAAAGCACCTCTAGATGGAGTTAGAGGCAGTTAAGGGCCACCAGACTTGTGTGCTGGGAACCAGTTTGGGCCTTGTATAGCAAAAACATTTAACTGCTGAGCTATCTCTCCAGCTCACTCATACATGTTATCATTTAAGGAGGAAACTGGAATATCACAAAAGCCAGTTTCTGTTAATAAACTTTACTGGAACACAACTGTTTCTACTATCTATATTCTTAGTTGTTGCTTTTGTGTTCTATTAACAGAAATATACATTTTTAAGATATATAGCCTATAAGACTAAATTATTTGGTGGGGAAAAAAACAGCATTATATAAAGAGGGGGGAAAAAAACCCTAATATTTACAGAATGATTCCATTTTGCAAAACACCTGAGTTTTGGAATTTCCCTTTAGTCTGCTTTTAAAAAGAAGCAGAAACAAAAAACCCACAACAATTATACTGTTAACACTGGCACAGGAGCATCATCGTGAAGAGAAACTATGAGTTAAGAGAAATGTTGGATGGCTCAGTATAGCAAAAGAGAAATTGTCCCACCTAGTTATCTTCATGATCACTAATATTATAGATGCTTACTATGCACATACACCAACAGAAACACAGAAAGAAGCATCCTCAAGAATGACATCCTATTTGTTTTGTTCCCTGCTTTTGTTTCTTGGGTTTTTTGAAGCAGAATTTTATATAGCCCAGGTTGGCCTCAAACTATATAGCTGAAGCTGGCTGAATTCCTGATACTCTTCCTGTCTTTGCTTCCTAAGTGCTAGGATTACAGGCATGTCATAAGGTAGGCATACTCCTACCTTAAGATGAGCCTGATTTATTTTTATTTTTTATTTTACCTGGGAACTGTGTTACAGGTCTGAAAACCAAGCAAACTGGATGCTCATAGAACAAAACAGTTCAGCCAGCCTGGGCTACAACCAAGACTCTGTCTCAAAAACAAGTTTTTATAATATGTAATTAACTTTAAAGAGGTTCCACAGAAATGAAAATGAACTGTTGAGATGAATATGTTCTCACAACCACAAAAATATTTTCTAAGGAATTCCTCCAAGTTTGACACATAAATTATGTGTTTTATAATACATAAAACTGGCTACATGCAAGTGTTTCTTTCTTACAAAGGCTAACTTAGTTTCCCCACATAATTCTTCTTTTAAATGAGTCTGATAGCCACTTCCTCCTGGTCACTATAACATAATTTGAGGGAAGCCATCTTTGCATGATGTCCTCATTGTATAGTTTCTATCACTACTTTGTGTTCCTTCTGCAGTTAGACAGTTTCAGTGTGCACTGTCAATCAGGAGACAAGCAAGTTCCCCGCAGAAATCTTCACTGTTTCCTTGCCAGTGACTGTTTTCAGGAAGCCAGAAAAAAACATGTTTCTTGAGTGCTTTCTTGAATGTTCATCTTTTGTCTTTAAACTTGGTTTATGTCTCAAATGGACATGTTATTCACACAGACAACTTGGATTTAGCTGTCTTTCCATAATCTAGTAATTTCATTTTTCCATTTCAGGAAATGGTATTTGACAGGTGTCTGGCTAAGTCTCCACTATACATGATTCCTATGCTGTAATATTTACTGCACTGGGGGTTAGGCTTGTCTTTCAACTTTGTGTCACTTTAATTTTTATGTTTTTCAGCTGCATCCATATCCTAACTATTAAAGCTTTCCTTTATGCCAATAATCTGCTTCCTAGGAATGTCTGCTTTGTGGTGTTCTTTGGTCTTCAAGTTGGATTCTGAGCTTAGCAGTTCAACTGCCCCCCCTTTAAAAATTCATTCTTACTAGGGAATCCACTCAACTCTGAGCCGCCTATGGGCTTCCTCTGAGCAGGGGGGTGGGGGGGAGGGTCTAGGTCCTTTTCATGTATGGCCATTGATTGGAGTATCGGTCTCTGCAGGACCCCATGGGCCCAGGTTTTTTGGCTTTGTTGGTCTCCTTGTTGAGCTCCTGTCCCTTTCAGGGCTTTCTATCTCCCTCTTCTTCCATAAAGTTTCCTGTACTCTGCCCAAGATTTGGTTATGAGTCTCAGTATCTCCTTCCTTACTGGTAGAGTCTTTCAGAGGCCCCCTGTGGAATACTCCTGTCTTGTTCCTTGTCTTCTCCTATTTTCAATATCTAGATATCTCCTGTTTGCCTTTCCCTAGTAAGGGGAACAAGGGATGTCTCTGACATGAACTCAGTGGCTGGCTCTCTGATCACCTCCCCCTGAGGGGTGCAGCTTGCCAGGATACAGAGGAAGACAATGCAGCCAGCTGTGATGAGACTTGATAGGCTAGGGTCAGGTAGAAGGGGATGAGGTCCTCTCCTATCAGAGGACTAGGGAAGGGGCATGGAAGGAGAAGAGGAAGGGTGGGTGGAACTAGGAGGACACAGAGGGGGCTACAGCTAAGATATAAAGTGAAGAAATTGAAATTAAATAAATTAATTAAACTATAAAAACTTCATCTTATTAGCTTACTTTCTTTTCTTTGTTTTACTGAACAGATAATCTTTTCACTAACCCAATACTATGACATAGTTGTTATCTTCTATTGAAATATGCTATGTCCTTTTCTTTTGGCTGTAGTATCTTTCTGAGTTTTCACATCACTTTATCACTCTGCTGAAGACGGGGTATTTTTTCATTAGAATGTTAATTTCTTAACACATATAAACTCTTTGTATACAGATAATTTAACTATAGATAAAACTGGACAAACCGATGCATATATATTAATCTAGTATATGTAACCGGTGCACAGTTCTCAGTATTACCTGCAGTGTGTTTGACGACAAAAAATATTCCCAGCAGTAGTCTTTTTCATATCTGAAACCACGTCGTTTAGCTTCTTCCCAGCCCTATTGGACAAAGAAATAAACTTGCTCAAATAGTTCTCCACACAAAAGACTACTCAGCAGTTTCCATTTTTATTTTGCTAAGTTTATTTCTTTACTGATATCCGATGTTCTCTGTAAAAATGTCAAGGAACTTTAAAACTCATGGCAAAAAAGATGAAGTTCCTTACAATCCTGGTATCCAGCACTGCTCCTGACATATTTGTACCCTACACAAAGTATTTCCACTGTATACCAAGTATTTATCAAAAGAGTATAGGTAAATAAATTTCACAGGTTTAGTAGATTTTCAGCATCAAAAACGTAGTTTTCTTAACAAGAATAAGAAAAGGGGGAAGAGGGGCTGTCAGCAAGACAGTTCAGCAGCTCAGTCCTTGAATCCAAGCCTGACAACCAGAGTTGGATCCCAGTTAGCCATCCTTGACTGTGACTGTGTACCAACAAAACACTTACTCAACAAAAATAAATAAAACTAAAAGAAGAAGAAAAAAGGAAGCAGGGCAAGTAGATTGAATGAGTTCTGGCCAAGCCTTCCTGCACATCCTTCCTGAGGATCTAGCTGCATACGCCATCATACATGCTCCTCAGACCCCTAGATAGAGCACAGGTGGCACATGCACTGCCCAGGTCTAGTCTGGCCACCACTCCGTGTGTGGCATCAGACTTCCAGTCTCCAGCCAGGACAAAGCAGTGAGTATCCACCATCAACCTACAACCCCATATCTTGTGCCTGGGTCTAATGTGTGAGTCTGCCCAATACTTCCCTTTATACATCCTCTCTGACACCCAGATGTACAACAAAACTCCAGGTGTGGCTTAGGATGTACACTCTTCAGTGCATCCCAATCCTGTGCTCATTCCACCTGAGCTATAGCCAACACTTAGGCCCAACTGGCCCATCCTGTTTTCTGCCTCAACATGCTCCGCCCATATCAGACACACTGCTAACAAAAGAAGTCCACATGCCCACATCTCATCACGAAAACACAAACAACATGAAAGATCAAGGCAGTATCTTGCTCCCCAAATCTACTAGTCCTATAGAACTGTTTGCCCATGAGAATTACCTAGACGAACAGCAGGATACAGAATTTTAAGAGAAAAATCACAGAATCATCAAAGAATTTAGGCAGCTTAAAGAGAAAAAGAGCTCAGTGAACATAAAGAGAATGAACTTATGATGTCTAAGAAAAGACAAATGTAAGGCTAATGGAAATGACAAACATAATCCAAGACTTAAAAATTCTATTCAACAAAGAGACAGAAACAATGAAGAAGACTCAGGCTGAAATGAAGATAGAATTGAAAGCCCAATAACCCAACCAGAAAACTCAAAGGAAAGCTTTACAAGTAGAATGAACCAAGAAGTAAGTGGAGTACAGAGCTAGAAGATCTCGATCAAATAAACAAGGAATACGAAAAAAATAAGTAAATAAAAAGATTAAAAGAAGCACAAGAAAGGAACATGAAAAGAAATGTATGACATCACTGATGACATAAAACATCAAACTGTAATTTTAGGAAAGGATGAGGGAGAAGAATCCCAGGTCAGCTGTAATGACCAGATCTTTAGCAATATCTTAAAAGAAATCTTCCCAGACTAAAGAAAGATACACCCACCAGATCCCACAAGATACAAAACATCAAATAGACAAAGCTAGAAAAGCAAATCCTTACAGCATTAGGAATCAGTTAAAACATGAAAATATAGAAAACAAAGAAAGTATACTGAAAGTAGCAGGAGAAAAATGCAAGTCGCTTATAAAGAAAAACCCATCAGAAAATCAACTGTTTTCTCAGCGAAAACTTTGAAAGTCTAAAGACCCTGGAGCAATTCAGTTCTAAAAGATTAAGACAGCAAATACAGACTAATATACCCAGCAAAAAAAATCACTATAGTTTGTGAATGAGAAAAAAACTTTGCACGATATAAAAAGCCTAAGAAAAAATTATACTGAACACACCGAATCTAAAGAAAATACAGGAACCAATCTGTTGGTTGGAGGAGAGGAATAAGCATAGCCAATAGAAATTACTGAAGCACAAAGTTATACCAACAGCACAACACCATCAAAAAATCAACAAGACAATGCCTGTAATCAATACACACCTTTCAATAATAACTAAATATTAAACTATATTACTGGAATTAAAGACACAGACTACCACCAATCCAGTAATAGCACATGATTTCAATACACAACTTTTCTCAGTAAAAAGGCCATTTGGGGGAAACAAACAAACAAACAAAACAACAACAAAAACTATGCAGAGAAGCCTCAGAATTAAATAGCATAGCACATCAAATAGACTGAACAGAAAGAATATTCACCCAAACACCAGAGAATGCACATTCTAGTCAGGAGTATGTGGAAGCTCCTTTAAAACAGAACACATCCTAGGACATAAGTCTTAAATTCAGAAAGACTGCAGTAACTCCATGGACACAAATCTGAGCACAATGTAATAAGATTTAAAAATCAACTATAAACAAATCTCTAATAAATATACAAACTCATGAAGATAAAAAAATCATTACTGAATGACGAATAGTTCAAAGAATAATTACAAATTTCCTAGAATTAAAATGAAAACACTAAACAACAAAACCTCTGGATATAAGAAAAGCAGTCCTACAAGAGAAAATTGTAGCCCTAAGTCACTACTATAAAAAACTCTGAGCACAATCAATTAATTTGATGAAACTAAAGAACCAAACTAAAACCCAGTTGTTGGCAAGGAAAAAAGAATACCAGAACCAATTTAAAATGAAATAGTAATAAATAAAACAATACAAAATATCAAAAAAAAATCTAAGAGCTGATTCTTTGAAAAGATAAATAAAATTAAGAGACTCTTGGCCCAATTATCAAAGAAAGAGAAGACCCAACTTAAAAGAATCAGAAATGAACAGAAAAAGATTACAAAAGACATCAAAGAAAGTCAGAATACTATAAAGAAGTATGTTAGAAACCTGACTCAACTAATTTGGATTTCTAGATTTAACCACACCACCAAAATTAAACCAAGAAGATCATCTCAACAACCTAAAGAGACACATAATAAATGATGCTATGCAAAAACAGTAATAAAAAGCCTTCCAACTAAAAAAGTCCAGGTCCAGCTGGATTCACAGTAGAATTCTACTAGATTTCTAAAGAAAATCCATAGCTTCCTTAAACTATTCAATATATAGAAATACAATGTGCACTTCTAAACTCCCTCTATGAAGAAGTTCAGCACTTGAATACCCAAAAAACCAAAGAAGGACACAATAATGAGAGAAGCCAATATCCTTGATAAAGTCTCAAAACTACTCAATAAAATATGTGCAAAGAGAATATAGACATACATTAAAAAGATTGTACTACATGACCAAGTTGGCTTTATCCCTGAAATAGAGGAACGGTTCAACATACACACGTCAATAAATATTACAAACTATAAAAATGACTTGACACCCCCCCCCCCAATCACATGATCATCTCAAGAGATGCAGAAAGAACTTTGGACAAAAACTAACATACCTTCCTTCATTATTAAAGTCCTAGTTAATGTAGGACTAGAGGAAACATACCTCAACATAATATAAGCTATATATGAGAAACCCATAGCCAACATCACCCAAAATGAGATAGGCAATCCCAGGACTAAAATCAGGACTATTATCCTCACTCCCTACTCCTTTTCAGTATTGTGCGTGAACCACTAGCTACAGCAATAAGTAAAAAGAAGGAAATTAAAGGGATACAAATAGAGAATTAAGTCAAATTATCCCTACTTGTAATGACATTATGTATAAATGCTCCCAAAAATTATGCCAGGAAGCTTCTGGAAATGATCAAGTTCAGCAATGTGGCGTGGCAGGAAAACTCAGTAACTTTTAAATAACTTTCCTATATACCAGCAACAAACATTCAGAGAAAAAGATGGACACTTCTATTCAAACTAATATCCAAGAAAATTAAATACCTAGTAATAAAAACGGCATGGTATTGGCATAGAAATAGAATGGTGGATCAATGGAACCGAATAGAAGACCCAGAAATAAACCCACACACCTATGAATACTTGATTTTTGACAAAGATGCCAAAACCATTCAATGGAAAACAGAGAGCATCTTCAACAAATGGTGCTGGTCCAACTGGATGTCTACATGCAGAAATGAAAATAGATCCATATTTATCACCCTGCACAAAACTGAAGTCCAAGTGGATCAAAGACCTCAACATAAAACCAGACGCACTAAGTCGGTTAGAAGAAAAAGTGGGGAAGAGCCTAGAACTCATTGGCACAGGAGACAACCTCCTGAACAGAACACCAACAACACAGGCTCTAAGAGCAACAATCAATAAATGGGACCTCATGAAACTGAAAAGCTTCTGTCAAGCAAAGGACACTGTCTTCAGAACAAAACGACCAGGAAAGGATCTCCACCAACCCTATATCTGACAGAGGGCTAATAGCCAGAATATATAAAGAACTCAAGAAGTTAAAAAGCAACAAATCAAGCAATCCAATTAAAAAATGGGGATGGAGCTAAACAGGGAATTCTCTGTAGAGGAATATAGAATGGCAGAGAAACACTTAAAAGATATGTTCAACGTCCTTAGCCATCAGGTAAATGCAAATCAAAACGACCCTGAGATTTCACCTTACACCCATCAGAATGGCTAAGATCAAAAACTCAAGTGACAACACTTGCTGGAGAGGTTGTGGAAAAAGGGAACCCTCCTCCACTGCTGGTAGGAATGTAAACTTGTACAACCACTTTGGAAATCAGTCGGGCGCTTTCTCAGACAATTAGAAATAGTGATTTCTCAAGATCCAGCTATACCACTCCTAGGCATGTATCCAAAATATGCTCAAGTACACAACAAGGACATTTGCTCAATCATGTTTGAACAGCTTTATTCGTAATAGCCAGAACCTGGAAAAAACCCAGATGTCCCTCAATGGAGAAATGGATACAGAAACTGTGGTACATTTACACAAGGGAATACTACTCAGCAATTAAAAACAAGGAAATCATGAAATTTGCAGCAAATGGTAAGATCTAGAAAAGATCATCCTGAGTGAGGTATCCAGAAGCAGAAAGACACACACGGTATATACTCACTTATAAGTGGATACTAGACCTATAAGGAAGGGTAAACATACTAAAATCTGTACACCTAAAGAAGCTAAACAAGAAGGAGGTCCCAGGGTAAGATGATCAACCCTCACTTAGAAAGACAAATGGGATGGACATTGGAAGTGAAGAAAACAAGAAACAGGACAGGAGCCTACCATAGAGGGCCTCTGAAAGACTCTACCTAGCAGGTTATCAAAGCAGATGCTGAGACTCATATCCAAACCTTGGGCACAGTGCAGGGAATCATATGAAAGAAGAGGGAGTTAGTAAGACTTGGGGAGGACAGGAGCGACACAAGGAACAAATATATCTGGCACAGGGGTCTTTTCTGAGACTGATTCTCCAAACAAGGACCATGCATGGATATAACCTAGAACCCCTGCTCAGATGCAGCCCATGGTAGCTCAGCATCCAAGTGGGTTTACCCTAGTAAGGGGAACAGAGACTGTCTCTGACATGAATTCAGTGGCAGAGCAGCCTTTCTAGGTCACAGAGGAGGATACTGCAGCTAGTCCTGATGAGACCTGATAAAGTAGGGTCAGATGGAAGGGAAGGAGTACCTCCCCTATCAGTAGACTTAGAGAGGGACAGAGGAGATGAAGGAGGGAGGGTGCGATTGGGAGGGAATGAAGGAAGGGGCTACAGCTGAGATACAAAGGAAAAAAACTGTAACTAATATAAAAAATAAAAATTAAAAAATTAAAAAAAATTAAATACCTAGGAATAAACTAATCAAGAAGGTGAAGAATCTCTGAAGAAAAAGACACTGGAAAATGGAAAGACACCTTGTATTTAGATTGCTAAAATTTTCCATTCTATCAAAAATCTCTTTACAAATTCAATGTAATCCCAATCAAAATATCTATCTCATTCAACATAAATTAAAAAAAAAAAAAAAACATATCCTAAAAGTCATGCAGAACCACAAAACACCCCTGGATAGCTGAAACAAAACTGGGCAAAATAGAACAGAGCTAGAGGAATTATAATTCCAGATCTTATAGATACATTACAAAACCACAGTAATTAAAAAAAATACAGTACTGACCCAAAACTAAACATGTAAGCCAAAGTACAAAATCAAAGGCCCAAAATGAATACATATAACTTCAGTCATTTAATAATTGACAGATAGGCCAAAACATAAGCTGGAGAAAAGAAACCCATTTTCAACAAATGGTGCTGAGCAAACTAAATATTCATACACAGAAGAATAAAATTAGACCCATATCTATCACCTTGGACAAAAACTAACTCTAAATGGATCAACGATCCGATCCTATGTAGGAAACAGTTTTCTGAATAGAACCTTATTTGCTCAGGAATTTAAGCCAACAATTGACAAGTGTGAAAATTAAAAACTACAATTTAAAAATGTGTGTGCTTGTGCACACTGTACGTAATCGGAGTATTTATAGAAAAAGAGGGTAAATAGAAGGTCATAAGTAATCCTGTTATTATCTACCCAAAATTACATATAATACATATGTGCCTATATATACATATAGAAGTCCAGTTTAAATAAAATTTCTTACCTAGGAAAACAAATGTTTTCCTCAAGAGCCATAGTCTAACAAAAACCCCAACACGGGGCATCAGAAATGCTGTTGGTTGAGTTTGTCCAGAAGACTTTCAAAACAGGCTGCTGCTGTTGCTCTTGGTTACCTCTGGTGGCTGAAGCTAAGCCCTTATCACTGAAGTCAACCATATACTTTGGACACAGCCCCCCCCCCCATCTGGTTCTGACCTAAAAGTATCTTGGAGGGGTAGTTTTCACAGTACCAGAAAGTGCTATGCAAGCTTTCAAGGGAGAGAAGCAACCAATAATTTACCCAGCTACGATGCCTATAAACTAAAACAATGAACAGCATGACACAATGTCCTTAAGTTTCCACTAGAGGCATGCATACCTTGGTGGTAACCAATGCATGATCAACAAGAAGGAAAGCATGTCTGCTGCTGGAAACCTAATCACTGAAGTCACAGACCCTGGGGAGAGAACCTATAACCACCTCTCCAGCAAATTCCCAACTATATTCTAAACATTATCTTCATGCCCACAAAGACGTAAAGGTTTTGTCAAAGAAATATCTACTTATAACAGAGACCATAAAAACCTACAACCAAACAAAAGGCAAAAACAGAAGACTGTGTGCTGCCTAATCCCAACTGATAAAATCTTTAACACAATACCTGCACCTAAGGCTCAAAGATCATGGCAACAGGAGAAAGAGTAAAAGAGCCATAATAAGAACAGCAAGTTTGCTGTGAGATTTCATCTCCTAGAAACATCAGAGAAATTACAACCATGAAGTCCCATCAACGAGGCTGACTAAATAAGAACTGAACATGGATGACACCCATAGACTAACATGGAAGGGCAAATTCTCATATGGCCACAACCCTAGACAAAGAACTATAGGCAACAAAGAACTAATGCTGAAAATGGCAGAAATAGTCCTCAAATTGGTTATCCAATACATGGTCAACCCTAAAAATTGTGTGTGTGTGCGCGTTTAACAGTATATGAACTGAAGTAGTATTTACATACATACATATATGTGTATATATATTTACATACAAACGTACATGATTTTGATAGTCTATTAAAAGATCGTATCACTGACTGTAAAAGTAGATTATTAATGAACAGACTGTCATGAAGGTAAGACAAAGTAAAGGACAATCATATATGAAAAACAAGATAAAGTGGTTATCTGTTTCAGCCTTACTTTTTATATGTCTTTTCCCAAAAGATAGAGATAAGCTCTTACGTAAGACAAAAAGTTCATTTTTATAAATTAGCCACCAAATTTTAACCAGTTTTTTTAATTTATTCCGGAGATATAAATATGGTCATTTAAAAGTATTTTAAAACATGCTCTTGAGTAACCTTCTATAAAGCAGAGCTAGAGTTTTTCCTTACCTCAAATGCATTCACAACTGTCAGGTGATCACTTCTAGTTTCCTTTGCCAATTCCTTTCTTCTTGCATCTGCAATCTTTTCCTTTCCCTAAAAAATAGCAATTGTAACTTAAATTTTTCTGACATAATAATGATGGATATTTTCCTGAAAATCTAATGAAAAATAGATGTGAGCAGTAAATACTTTTTACATTAAAAATGCCTAGACATTTTTCTGTCTTTCTTACCAATGGAATGACAAAGGGATCTTTAAAGCTGAGGCTGGCAGCGATAGTGAGGACTGGATCTAAGCAACAGAACAAAGCTCCAAAGAGAATCATTTTTCCAATATGTGGCTCAACAGGCAATCGAGCTAAATGGACACCAAGAGGTGTTAATTCTTCTTGCTTATCCAAAGCACTCTGAAAAGAAAGAGTATAATCTTACAGTGGGCCCAGCAAAGCATTCCACCAAAAGCTGCTATAGCTAGCTGTCAAACATAGGGCCACTATTCATTCTCTTAAACCACAAATGCCCCAAACACTGGTTTAAGTACCTTCAACACAAAAATTAAATTCTAATGTTAGTAAAGCCTAATTTAAACAAACACAATCTACAATTGGAAATGTTACATCAGAAATAAAGAAAATGACCCACGGTTAAACAGTTATGAAAAGACAAGGAGTGGGTGAAATGCACTGTCCCTTGTGTCTAGTTAAGTGCTCCGATGCAAAAAGATAGGGGCACATATGCGAGTGACTGCTGCTCCAATTCCCTGGGTAATCTGGTTCAAATAAGGGCACCTAGAGAAGTTATCCTGAAGAAACCAGGGAAATACAAGGACACGACTGAAAATTTACAGTGTTAATTTAGGAAGTTAATTATTTTACAAGCCTATCACAGTGTTACAAAATTCAAAATTTTAAAAATGATCTACATGGATGGCTTCCAAACTTGTGACATATATACAAATATAACATGTCTTTGGTACCCTCCAACCAACATGTTTGTGCAGATAAGAACATTCTTTCTCTGCATGTTCCAGGACAGTACAGAGAGGTGCCATAAAGAATACGTGAGTATAACTGAGGTAATGAATTTCCAATTGAGTCATAATTTCAACTACCACACATAGCTGCAAACAGCAGTAGATAGCACTTCTAGTCTTGTGCTTCTCTTACAATTGTGGGAATAATTCATGGCCAGTCCTATGACTCTCAACAAGAACGACTGTCAACCATGTAGGCACTTAAAGGAGTTTCTCAGAGCATAAAAAGGAACTAACAAAGCAGAAGGTCCTGTTCTACGGAGATAAGTTACAGTAGTGAATGACAGTTCAAGGACTGTTACAGCATCACACAAAGAGCCATCTGTTTATATTCTTTCAAAATATGATGGCTGCCTCTGCCAAATACTACACTACTATTAAATTATTGAATCTGACAACACAGCATTAGAGTAATAACAAAGAGTAGTATTAACCAACCTAGTTCAAGAACACTTAATGAAGACCACTAAAGAAATAGTTCAAGATTTCATGAAATTTTAAATTCGTCTTACAACAAAACTCATGAAAATTTGTATCTTAAAAACATGCAAAAAGTGTCCTATCAAACCTGACAGGGTTCTACTCTGCAGTAATAAAAGCTTTTAAGTAGTGGCCTAACATGCTAAATTCAAGTTAAACTTCAGGAAAATCAAATTTACCAATTCCATTAGGTGTTTTATGGAGAGCAATACTGCTTCGTTTGATGGTGGATCCATTAATCTACTCAGAAAATAAGCAATTCCACCTAGCCTTAAAATCTGTGGAGACAAATTAGTTAAATATACATCAAAAAGACATAAAAACATGCAGCCAAAAACATATATAGCACTTTTTAAAAGGAAATCTAGTGAGAACAGTTATCAGAACAAGGTGATTACTGACTACCTTACAGGCAGGGCTAGTGGAGCATGCGCACCAACGAGCACCCTCGTGCACACACACGCAGAAAGTATGTATCTGAAGATACAAGAACAGCTAGCAAGATCTGGTGGCACAGGCACAGAGCACCAGCTACTTAGGAGGCTGTTGAAGTTAACCTTGAGCCAATTACTGAGATCATCTCAAAGTCCAAAAGAAGAAAAGGGAGGGGTCTGAGAGGACAGCTTGGCAGCGGAGCTTGTCTAATATCAAGTCGTGGGCTCAATGCTCTGGACCTCAGAATCGGAAGTGGCAGCTGACAGTTACTGTTGCGTGTCCAGCACTGTTTTAGGACTTTATGCAGCAAGCTGCTTAGTGAAGCAGAACAAGGTTTCCAGATAAAAAGCAGCAACCAAACACAGGTCCCCTGATTCTAATGTTAACAGCTGTTTGATACACATCAGACGGAAGTTTAAGTAGCTTTCTCACATTAGCAAAATGAAGTGCATAAAACCAATCTTTTTTGTAGGTTCATACTATACTTCTTCCATTAAAAATGTTGAAAACTGTAATATCACCCTTCTTTTAGTTTGTTAATTCTCTCAACTAATATACCTTTATTTGCAAACAAAGTTCTTCCAAAGGAGTTCTCAAAATTTCTGGTAGTTGGTAGTCATCCAAAAGACTTTCTCTAAGGCCATTATATAGATGATAACAGTGACCAGGCTGAACTCTTAAAAAAAAAAAAGAAGAAAAAAAAAAAGATCAAGAAAATGACATTTAGAAAGCCAAAGAAAGAACAGGAAGGCAAAGTACCCAGTATCCATTTCTCACAAGCCATAAACATAATGGTTATTTCACATCTATAAAACTTTATTTCCTTCATGTTTATTTGGAAGGACCCTAAACCCAATGTCCAAATTTTATTTTGTTTTTGTAGTTCTAGTTTCTAAGACATTATTTTTTTATTTTAATACGTAATACATTAATAATTTTAAATATGTGTAATATATTTAAATACATATTTGCATTAACTACACCAATCCATTTGCATATCCTTATTTTGTTATCTAAGCTTTTAAGCACCTCTCTTTTAGCCCTTATAATGCATATATTATTCTGAACTACAGTTGTCCCGTGTTACAGAACACTAGAACTCACCTCTATGTCTTTTGGTAGTTCTCACGCTCCAGTTTTAGATAGCAATGACAGATATTCCCACCCATAATTTGGTTCCCCATTTCTGAAGTCTATCTTTCCTTGCTCAAACTACAGCTGTATTCTGGTCAGGCTTAGAGTAGTAACAACAAATATGGCCTATAAGCCTACTTTGTAACAAACCTTGCACTATGTTAACCTACATTTATTAATTAAAGACCATATTTAAATATGTTCTATCTAGTGAGCTCTCAGACATTAGAAACTCTTTTAGGTTCATAACTTAGTGCCACAACCGATATGACAGGATTCATATATTTCTGAACAGAATAATATTTCAAAAGACTCTGGCTGCCATAGCAATAAATGATTTAAACTTTTGGGTATTTTTGTTTGTTTGTTTTGTTTTCTTTTTTTGCTGTAAGTCTACAAAGACTTATTATCTATTATCTAACATCTCTCTGGAGGCAAGATTATCTAGCATCTCAGAAACTAATGGTATTTCCAGAATGAACCACATGGTATTTGGCTTTTGTTCTTGTTGTTTTTGTTTTTCCCTGGTCTCCAAAATAACCAACCATCAATCTAATCAGGCTTTGTGAAGTATCAATGTCAAAATATAAGAAATTGTCTAGAAATCAGGTTAAACGGGGACAAACAATAAAGATTATAGCAAGCAAGCCAGAACTTTATTGATTGAGCACACATTTAAAACAAAGGGATGATGAAATGGCCACTAACGTTTTCTTAAATTTTCCTTTCCTTACATGAGCCCATATGGAAGACTGGTGATGCTTTTCTTTTTACTAGGGACAAAGGAAAAGTCTTCTATACACCAGACAAGATTCCGTCACCAACATAAAATACTCTAAGTACTCAATCAAAAAGCAGCAGCAGGCAAGTCTGTGTAAGGGAAAAACACTGTTCTCATCATTAAAACAGATGTTTTTATTTCTTATGTTACTACCACATCAATGGAGCAAAAGTGGTTCCCCTATGTATTCACTGACAAGTCGTGGTCAGAATTGGTACTGCTTAAAGGGACAGTAAACAGAAACCCAGACGGCTTGAATTCAGTTTCTGTCTCTGCTATGTACAAAGCTCTGGCACGCTGAGCAAGTTATTTCATTTCTCTATAATTTAATTCCTTATTCTTAAAAAAGGTAATTGTTTACCTCAGCTGAGAAGTAAGAATTAAGCAAACAGAGCACTCAGGAGAGGAGACGACACTCATATAGTTCTTTCTAATTAAGAATTACATGCTTTAAAAGCAAACATGAAACTGTGAGTGATGCAACTAATAAAGCTTATTTTTAACCACGTAGACGAGGCCATTGAAAAACAATCATGAAATAAAAAACTTGGCAAATAGTTTCCCCAAAAAAGTAGAATAAAAGTATTTTCTTATTTTAAAATGTGTTGCTGTAGTAGTTAGGCATGGGAAAATACAAATTCAAACTCCCCTGAGCTCCATTTCACCTCTTCATAAGGGCTAACAACAAGTGTTAGTGGAGATGTGGGGAAAAGGGACACCCAGGATACTGCTAGTGCAATGGAAACGGGCATACCCATCAAGTAAATCAGTATGAAGGGTTCTCAAAAACTACGAAGAATTAACTCAAGACACGACTGTGCTGCTCCCAAGTACACATGCAAAGGAGTCTAAGTCAGCAATGCAAAGGAGTCTAAGTCAGCACTCAACAGCGGTATAGCGTAGCCAAGTAAGTGCTGCTTGAATTGAACAAGTCAAGACATAGAGTCAGACTAACTGCCAATCAACAGACGGGTACTTAAAATGTGGAGTACACACACAAACAGCATTTTAGTCCATTGTAAAGAGGAAATGGTAACACCCACAGAAAAGTGTCCAGAAAGGCAAATACCAAATCTTCACTCTTATGCAGAATCTCCATGTAAACTTGAGATATGTTACAAGAATTAGTCAGCTGATGAACAGACAGGTAGGTGGACAGTCATAAGATTCTATAACAGGGTTGATAAGTGGGAAGGAAGAAATGAAAATGAAGGAGGCATGCGCAAGAGAGAATAGAATGTATGTTACATGGAACAAGGAGAAACTATCTGAGTAAAGGAAAGAAGTAAGGGGAAAGTACAACTATATAAATGTATAAAAATGTTACATACTTGTTATTTTACATGCCAATTTAAATTAAAAATCAAACGCTAAAGCCTCAAAAGTGTTGAGTTCAATAAATTGTGCAAGGTAACTCTCCTAATAATAATTTAAATCACAGCAATATAATTGCTCACATATTTTCCCCATGTTCTCAAGGCCCTGGATATTATTTCCATCTTACCTTCCAGCTCTACCTTTCCTCTGCTTGGCATTGGCTTTACTAACCCACTCAGCAGACATAGTACTGATGTTGTTCTGTGTGTCAAAGTGTGTTTCTTTAATTTTTCCTCCATCTATTACATAAACCACATCATCTATGGTGATGCTGTATGAAAACAGAAATACAAACTATTAAAAATTGTACATCGAGAGTATTATAGCAAGCCTATAGGAAGGTTTTTTTTTTTTTTTTTTTTTTTAATTCATTTAAGTACTTTTTACTGGATCACTTGGATTTTATTAATTCAGGACCTTACTTCCTCTTCCCACATTTTTCAGTTTCACAGCAGTCAAGCACCTGACTGCAGGCAGTATATGTGTGTACAGTGGTAGCGGTAGCAAATGACTAGATCACAGGCTACATTCTCATCTACCCATACCCATTTTCTTAGCATCTCTACCACCTTAGGACCAGTTCTGAGGCCCTTAAGCACTAGAGTTTAACAGCTGCTTCTAAAATATAATTTGTTTCAGCAACTGAGCTGTAAGTTATCCCCAGTAGAGCATTAGAAATGTGTAAGACTGCATGCAATTATAAGATTACAAAATAGTACTATCCCTAACTGGACAAAAGAGAAAAGGACTATACCTATAGAAGCTCTCATGATTCTTTAGAGAAGTTTTGAATAACAAATACTTAACGAAACATTGAAATAGAGAACTAAAAATGGAAGAACAGCCTTACAAAAACTACAGTTTATATTTGCCATCTATAACTAATGCTAAAAAGTGATTTTTTTAAAAAGAGATTACAAAGTATCTTACAGAGAATAAAGGTTAAACTGTCAATAATGTATGGAGCTCAAAAATTTATGTAATCATCAATAGCTGATATTTAAAATAGTTTTTACCTAGTCTCTGCAATGTTGGTAGCAATCACTATTTTCCGAACACCGGGAGGAGTTTTTTTAAATACCTGTAAGAACAAATACACCAAAAGTATACTAATTTCTGACATGTTTTTACAGTGTTATTTCCTGAGAAACTGTGATTTTTTAGCATTTATTTTTTTAAATATATGTGTCTTCTTTATTGATCAATAACACGTACATTTTCAACATGATGAAATCCTCCCATGATAAACTAGATGTCAGAAGTGTATCATAAATAAGAGGCAAACAAAGTAACTCCAACTTTTTTAATTAATAATTTTTTTAATTAATTACAATTTATTTATTCACTTTGTATCCCAGCTGTAGCCCCCTCCCTGTCCTCCGAATCCCATTCTCTTTCCCTTTTCTCCTAGTAACTCCAACTTTTAGCTCATATTTAACAAAAGCTGATGACTATAAAGTTGAAAAAAACAGCTTTGGTCTAGGGACAACATTTACAAAGCCAAACAAAGACCATCCAGAGAGGCAGATACCTTGCCCTAAGAATGGATGTCAAGAGCTGCAGCATGACCAACTTGATATTAAAACTGAAGCAAAAATATCCTCTTCAAATGTCAAATCCTACAAATAATACAGCCCCTAACAATGCCACCCAAGTTGAAGGAACAGAAGTAGTTGAGTAGCATAGGCTGTACCTCATACGCTCACTCAGAAGAATGCACTCAGGCTTGATTTACGAGATAGAGCTCTCAGTCAGTAGGAAGCACATATGCTCAGCAAGTGGATGCCTACACTACTAGGTAATCAAGGATGGAAGAACCTCCACGTTAGCTCCACTTTTATCTATTCTTCAATAATAAAGTTCACTCTTTCTCACTCTCTTCCTCTAACTCAACATGTTGGATCTCCATCAAAGTGTTCCCAAACACACTTGAAAGAGTCATAGTTATTTTCTTATGAAAAAGAATAAAAAGACTGAAAAGAAAGAAAAGTATATTTTGAACCATTTCATTTTACTCTACTAAGGTCTGAAGACACTGTTACCATTCTCATTAAGAGAATCCTGGATAATGTAATAAATTACTGATAAAACAGGAAATCTCTTAATACACTAATTGTGATAAATCACAATCTTAAACACCAATGTGTAATATGTTACAGTCATTCCAGGTTGTGGTTTTTAGTGGTATTTACTTTTTTATTTTTTATTTTTTTGATTCAGGAAACCTAAACCAGTTACTGATGAAACCATTTCTTTAAACTTTCCTAACACTCACAAAAGTAATCTGATAGTAACTTACCATGGTTAAGTTTTTGTAAAACCATTCTCCAAAGAAATGGCTCTTAATAAAGTATTTTAAACATGGATTACTAGTTTAAAGTGTTTCTTTGAAGGAAAAAAAAATAATACAACAAGCCTGTGAATATATATAGTTTAAGTGAAATTTTTCCATCTGGATGTCAATCCCCTAGTAGCCACTGACTAGATAAGGAAAACTTCACACCAGGTGACTAGGACACGCTCCTTTGTTCTGAGGTGCTGGTCAGGGCTGTCTTGGAGACTCTCCAGACACATGCTATTGCTGCTGCCCTTGGCTGTCTCCCATTGCTGAAGACACCATGTACTTCAGACATACAACCCAGAGGATGCCAGCTGGTTTTAGCCTGAAAGCCTCCTCCTCCTGAAAACTAGCTCCCATGATTGCATAAGGCTTCAAAGGGAGGAAAGAAAGAGCAACAGTTCTACCCTACTATGATGCCTATGAACTAAAGTAGGTACCTGTGTGGCATGACACCCCTAACCCTAAGCGTGCAAGGCTGGAAGACTGGAGTGCATTATCTTGGTAATAAGCAACAAAGAGCCCTCTAATTGGGCTTAATGCCCAATCAACAATACGGAAAGCATGCCTGCCACTGGGAACCTAACCAAGAACCCAGGAATAGTGAAGTTATGGATCTTGGAGGAAAACCAAGAAATGTTACCTTTAAACCAGTATAATTCTGGACTAGTACTAAGTATTTATCCTTATGTCCACAGTAAGTATGGGTCGCATCACTTATAAAAAAACAAAAACAAACAAAAAACATCTATTTGCAAGAGACTACTATGAAAAACTAGCAAAAGGCAGAGAACAAGAGATTGCTGCACAGTCCCAACTATAACATCTACAACACAATTCCTGTACCTAAGGTTTAGAGATCATAGGAGAAGATGGGGCGGTAAGACTGTAAGAGCCAGAGAAATTCAAAATTTCATCTCTTAGATACTTCAAAGAAGCAACACATATGAAGTCTCATCAATACACCTGCCTAAACAAGACCTGATCAAGAACATCAACAGACATGCTAACAATGAAAAAGGAAAGCTGTGAGGCCTCAACCCTACACAAAGTGCTCCAGGTACCAAAGGCATGCTGAGAGGAGGAGAGAAACAGTCTTTCTTGAGGAAGACATCAATTGTTTAGCCAATACCAAGTGGTTAGCCCTAATAATTGCATACATATAAGCAACATTATATGGTCTCAGGCCATATTTACATATTTAACAATGCATGAAACACACACAGACACACACACACAAAAACACAAAGACATACAAAGCATCACCACCAACAACAAAGAAATAGAGGCCATGCATTTGAAAGAACAGTGGTAGGGGGCGCGTGGAGGCAGGGTTGGAGGAAGAAAAGGGAAGGGAAAACAATGTAATTACAATTTAATTTCAAAAACAAAACAAAACATAGTAAGCAGTTTGCTCAATATAGACCAAAACAAACAAAAAAGAAATTTAAGAACATACCTGTGTCTGATTTACTGTAGGCATCAGTGAATGTAAAGGTATAATAAGAAACTTATCTGAAAATTAAAAAAAGTGTTATAAATTAAAATCCCATAAAACAATACAGAACATATATGAAATAATAAGTTCAGGTGCTAAGTCACACAGTTCTTAATTGATATTTTTACATACAGTCAAATCAAGCTTGACTTTGTTAATTTATTTTATACTGATAAGCATTTGTTTATCAATTCAAGATAAAGAACATTTTTTTTCCTATTACTGTTATGTGTGTCTTTCTGTGAGGACAGGCCACGTGTACAGGTACCTATGAAGGTAAGACTGAGCTTGATGCGCTGGAACTAGTTACTAGCAGTTGTCAGCTGCCTGATGTAGAGTGCAGAGACATGGACCTGGATCCTCTGGAAGAACAGCCAGCACTCTTAACCACTGACTCTTGCCTCCAACTCCTGCCCAAATTCTTAAAACAATTCTCAGTAGTGGGAGTTATCTTTCTAAATCACATCCATAAAAGGCCATTAACTCCATCCTCACTATTAATAAAACCAATGAGGGTGGAAAAAAAAAATGAAAGTCCCTAAATATCAATATTTTGTAACCTTAAGGCTTAATTATATTAGGCAAGTTTAAAGAAGGGTTAAAATAATACCTTCATAAAACTAAAAAGCTTCACAGTGTACATCCCATCCTTATTTATAACTCAGAAATGTTAGAAAACATTCAATTTCTTAAAGCAAAACACTCAAACTTAGATGATCAAAATCTGATACCAATGTAGCCTCCTTAGTAACAACTTCTTAAAATTAAAAAGGGGAAAAAGATTCTATATACTACATGAATTTCAGTATCAGTCTTGGAATTACATAGTATAATATATTATACAATACCTGATTTAAACATCACTTGTGACATCAAGAGGTCATGTAAAGTACTGATATTGTCCCAGCCTGGTAGAAAGACCAGTATTGCACCATCCTATATAAACAGAAAATCACTATATAAACAGAAAACCACAGTAATAATAACACTGGGAACCAATTCTATGTACATTTAAGTCCTCTTTAAAATTAAAGTAGCTTTGAATTCTGGTTTTTAAATGAATAGACTCCTTTAAAACCTCAGATTTACAATCCAGAGATAATTTGTTTAGTCTTTTCTTTAAATAGGTTAAATGCCTAAATATGATATTTTGAGATTTTCTTGCAGTCCACTATTTACAAAGTACTTAGGAAAATGATTCTGTCATGGCTTTGATATGTTAAGAAAACTTAAAGTAAATTACTTGAAAAAAAACTAAACAAAACTAACCTCTTCTTCCAAAACAATGTATCGAATTAGGGCAGCAATCAAATTCAGATCAACTTTATCATCATCCATCATTTCCAAAACATTTACAGTACTTGCAGAGTATCTACCGAAATTACACAGAAAATTATGAAATGCTTGATAAGTTTTCTGTGGGTTCATCAGCTATAAAACTTAAAGTTAACTCAGTCTGCTTATGAACAAACAATCTATAGATCAGAGAAAATTAAAATTACTGGGATAATAAACAGCAGATAAGTCTAATCAGAATGGTGTTTATTTAGAATGAGATCCTGCCCCTCCAAGTACACTCGAAATCACCCCCCCACACACTGTGCTCTTGCCTCAAAGACACACTTACCTTGTTCGCAGTTCCTTTATATAAGATGGCCAGCGTTCTTTATAGATTGCCTCTTTTTCTTCTTTTTCTTGTCTATTTACATGACCCTGCATGAAACCCCTCTTGAACTGGGATCTATGTTCTTTTTGTTCTGGAACATATCTAAAATAAAAAAGAGCATTATGCATCTTCCCACATTTGAAACATTATGGCTTTAAGTATGCCTGAGTTTTTATACTGGAGATTTCAAGCCAGATTCTAAACAATATTTTCACTATATTTTCCAGAGAGCGTTACACAAAATATAAAGCATGTAAGATCTGTATGCCATCTTTTATAATCTAAATGAAAAATTGATTTAACATTTATCTTCAATTTTAAGTTTGCTCCAAAATAAAAGTTTTTAATAACTAGAAGGTCCAAAATATGACTTAATGACTGTTTAATAGAATAACTTAGACTTTGAAAGTTTTTCCAAACCAATCTACACGTAAGAATCCCTTGTGGAGCATATAAAGTAAGATTTCTGAATCCTAAGGATTTGCATTAGTATCTCCAGGAATATCAGATCTATGCTAGAGAGTGCATCGTTCTGCGGTCACAGTTAAAAGTTAGGAGAGATCCAGAATTAGTACTTAAATTTTAAGTGTCCTGTCTAGTGCTATGGTGACTCTATGGTGCTATAGTGAGTTCTAGAAATCAGGTCCAGGACAGCCAAGACTAGACTGACAGACCCTGTCTTGAAGAAAACGAAAAGAGAAATGGGGGTGGGAGGTGGGGGCGGTTAGAGAAGACAAGGAAAAATTGAAGCTATACTTTAAGGCCCACAGAGTTCAGAGGCTGCAGCTAGAGGGAGTGGGGAGGAGGGGTGAAGTCAGATGGAAATGCTGTCCCTGCTCCGACTAGTTGTAGTCTTGCAGAAGGTATTCATCTTCCAGTTTTTAGTCAGACTTGTGCAGTTCATACTCTTACCCTATTACTAGCATGGGAATCTAAAAAAAGGGATAAAGTGCCTGGCAAGTACTTAACATCTAAATATGAAAATATTTAGCTGAGTGTCAGGGAGTAGGTACAAATGTGGCATACGCTGGTTAGTCAGCATAGAGTTAGTAAGCTACTGCCATACCGCTTGATAAAGACCATACTTTTAAATTTACCACCTAGAAAACTAGGTAGAAGACTGTAACTAAGCATAAGATACATTTGGCAAAATGCACTTTGTTTATCTGTGCTGGTGGAAAGCCTGCAGAAATCTAAGGTAATGATTTTGGCTTTACAATTCCTGGATGTCTATGGAAATGATTCTAATTTAAAAAGTTCAGAAATGCTTGATGAATGGATTTAGTAACATGTCAATGATGAGTTATAGGAATAAACTTGACAAAGAGAAGAGGGATACATTAGTACTTTTTAACTTATTTCACTGCCCACTGTTTACCTTAATTTTTCAATGATATCTTCCAGAAGATACTCCACAACTGGAAAAGTAAAACCTGGTATATGTATCATTGGACAGTTACCTATAATAAAAGATAAAACACATCGATGGCTTCGTATGCAATGTTAAAAATTAAAAATCAACACACACTAAGATAGCACAATATTCTTAACCTAAGAAACACTTCAGTCTACATCTACTTTCCCCAGCTGACTTAAGACAAGTTTAGTTTTCATAGTTATCTTACTTCTATAAACTGAACACAACTGCTCAGTTATACAAAATAACACTGAATACTAAACAGAACCATTTTATGTTGAACTTTAAATATATTAAAAGCCTATTGCCCAAGATTGTAAAAGGATGAGTCCTCGTTTTGCTGACAAACTAGATAAAAGAGATTACTCTCTGTGGCTCCCAAAATGGGCACTGACAGGAAGTTAAAACAGGAAGTTACCAAATATTACTCCGTTTCCACTTGAAGCTCACAACAGATTATCTTAGTGCTGGCATTGAAATGCTGGTGTTTCTCATAACAAGCAAATAAAGCACACAATAAACAAACACAAGCTTAGGGCAAATGACCTGAACTACCGTCTGTTCTGTATCTCATCTGCACCAAACTGAGTTATTCGTATCAAGTCTGGGTGCCTTACTAACAACTAGCAAGACACAGTACCTGCCCCAACTAATCAAAACGCTATGAAGAATGAAATGGCATGCATTTTTTAGGCATTTTAAAAACCTGAAAATACATTACCTATGGTGATACTACATTTCAATTACTTATCTTTTCTCCCAAATATGTCCATTATTATTTTAAGGAAGAAAGATTCTGAAAACATTTCTACAGAATTTACTTTTTCATGTGCTCAAATCTAGTTTCAGAATCTCTGTTTTTTTGTTTTGTTTTGTGTAAAGAGTTATTTACTTATTATGTATCCAGTGTTCTGCCTGCCTGCGTGTATGCTGCATGCCAGAAGAGGCACCAGCTATCACAGGTGGTAGTGAGCCACCATGTGGTTGCTGGGAATTAAAACTCAGAACCTTTGGAAGAGCAGCCAGGGCTCTTAACCTCTGAGCCATCTCTCCAGCCCCCAGAATCTGTTAGTAATGCAATGTTAATTACAGAACATTGGATAAGTTATTTAACAGTTGTGAGACTGCATTTGTATTTGCAAACCTGAAGCAACACTAGTGCTGACTCACAGGACTTTGTAAGAAATGGTGAAGACAGACTGCTAACTGCCACCTGGCACACTAAAGCATTCCCTAAGTGGGCACTGACAGTATCATCAGCAGAAGCCAGAGTAGCCTACGACTATACACAAATGCCAAAGAAGATTCACATGTGCCCAAAAAGAAGACTATAAAAATTTTCATTCCCGGAATTTGATTTCAATGATACCACCTCATTATCTGGTGACAGCACCAAGAAACTAGCTAAAGTCACAGTGGGAGAGAAGTGACACTATCATTTGAAAAAGCAGGCTTGGGTCTTTCATCAGGAAACAGTGAAAAATATAAAAAAAATAGTCAACACTCACATTTATTATACCTAGTACTGTGTGGATTTTTTGTTTTGAAGTTAAACTTTGATACCTCTTCTAGCATATTATCAAATTTTACTCACCAAAATATTCTGAAAATTTCTCAGCATTCAATGTTGCACTCATCAATATGACTTTTAAGTCAGATCGAAAATTGAGAAGATCTTTAATAACAGTCATTAAGACATCTGACTGCAGATTCCTTTCATGAATCTCATCAAGTACAATATGGCTGACGCTGGATAAACGCCTAGAAGACAAGTGTAAACATCACAACCCAGTATAAAACTGGAAATAAACACTTTCAACAACACAGTTCTGTTTCATAATTATATCTTTGGCCAGGCATGGTGGCACATGCCTTTAATACCAGCACTCAGGAGGCAGAGGCAGAATCTCTGATTTTGATGCCAGTATAGTTTACAGGATATCCAGGGCTACGCAGAGAAACCCTAACTCGAATAAAAAATAAAAAAAGAAAGAAAGAAAAGAAAACCAATCAAACAAAGAAACAAAAAATTATATCTTTGGCTCTCTGTGAAGTGTTCTTGTTTATATAACTTTGGTGGTGGTGGGGTGCTGGGTGAGAAAGAATCTCATGGAGACAAGGCTGAACTTCAATTCCTGAGCCTGCCTCCATCTATCAAGTGCTGGGGTTACAAGCATGAGTTAGCCTGCTCAGTTCTTTGCTGATATTTTTTTTATTCCTTCCCTGAAACATACTCACGAGTCTGACTGCAGCCACTGAAGAATGATTCCTGTTGTACAGTATAAAATGGAACCTTGTTTCCTTGGCAACCGACTGTAAAAAAAGACACAGGTTATTGATTCTTGGTTTTCTTTCCTAAGAAAGTGTTGAGTTCCACAAAAGCTTGAGGAGAATCTTTCTACTTAACTTTTAGTTATAATAGCATCTACTACAAGGAAGTAATAGGAAATAGTACTTTTAAGTTCACATTGATACTAAAAGTGTTTCTTTTTACAAGTGTACCCTTTCACATTCAAAAACGGAATGAATTTAAGGGCCCCAAGTTTCTGGTTTGGTAAAAAGAATTCTATTCACCTCTAGGAAGTTTAGTAGAGATCAATAATGAAGCCAATAATACAAATATTAAAAAATAAAGTCTATCAAGGGGTAGACAAGTGGTATCAAAAATGTACACTAGTGCCCCTACCACTTGCAGGGAACTGTTGTTTTACTGCTCAATAAACTCTGCTTGATTGTCCTTCAAAAACTTATAAAGGGGCCTATCGAGATGCTTCTGCTTGGCGTCAAGCCTCGGAACCTACTTCAATCCACAGGAAACGTGCTAGAGAACTGACTCCTGTAAGTTGTCCTAACTTGCATGCGTGTGAGCAGACACACGCAGACAGACAGACACAGACAGACACAGACAGACAGACACACACACACACACACACACACACACACACACACACACACACACA